TATAAGAACGTGTGTGCTAGACTGTGTGTGTGCCTGAAACATGTGTGGGTCTGCGGGTCTGCAGCTGGATACATCTCGGTGGTGGGCAGGAAGAACCAGCATTAAAGGCACAGGCGCATTCTGAAAAGTATAATAAATAATGTGATGGGTGTTTTGAGATGAAACTTTTCACACATTCTGGAGACACAAAACACTTATCTTAAATCTTGAAAAAGGGGTAAAATAGGTGGCCTTTAAGACAATAAATATTATTTAATTTATAAAAAAATACAAATACAAAAATAAATATTTTAATAGTCATTTAATATGTAACATGAAAATTTTAAATAAATTGAACAAAATGCCTAAAATCCACGAATCACCCACTTTCAAATAATTCTAAAGACTGTCCAAGCATTTAGACGTAAGACCTAAACACTGTAAATGCTTTCAAATCTTGTTTCAAACTGCCCAAATATTCAAACCACACACCCTAAATTGCCTTTAGGCTTTTTGATCTCCTTTTTTATTCACATTTCAGACAAGACTGTCAAAACAACTTTCCTTTCCTAAGAATCAAATGTCTCCTAATAACAATAAGCAACAACAACAGTGTCAGATTCTCAAATGATGTTTTTTTTTCTCTCCGATATGAAATATTCAAGAGCTCTGTAAATCACTGCGAGCTATTGATTCACATTAGACAAAACGATTAGCTCAGACTGTCTCATTAACTTCAGTTTGAACGTTTTTACAACTGCATAAACACACCGCCGTTCAATAATACTAGTTTAAGCCAGGACAGTGTTATATGGAGATTCTGTGTATGTAATCTTGTTCATGTTTTAGCCAGCACGAGTCTGTGTTTATGGTCCCAAGATCATAAAAAATACACAAACACAAACAGCCACCCAGTCTTTGTGAATAAACAACGTACAGCATTTCAGTTAATTCCTCTACATGCATCATTTCTTTTACCGCCGTTTACTTTACAAACTTGTGAGTCTGATGGTCTGTTGTACTTGTAAATTGAACCTCTTGTGCTTTTGCAAACTCAAGTCTGGACCACAACCACAACCTAAAAGCCACTGACATGAGCCACAACCTCACACAGTCAACACTTTACTCAATTTCCAGTCGTGATCTCACTCAAACAGTGCTTGAAATAGAGATGATCGTAATTTAGAGCAATTAGTTCTACAACCACAACACATGCATATCCTCAGCTTCTTGAATTGTGTTTCTAGCAGGAAAATCCCATGTCTAAGCGAGTCCGAGCAAGACTGTGCTTTTTTTAATTAATGCTCTAAACAAAAAAAAAAACCTTGGACCAGGAAACTATGAAGGATTGAAGGGATGATGGTGCGTGAGGTGAATATATAAGCAAGTTTGAGCCATTTCTGCAGCAATATACAAACAATATTTCTGTCATGACAACTCTTGGAGAGATTTAGTATGGTGATGAATATGCATATGGAAATGATTTCGTTTTTGGTCTTGGTGGTATAAATCTGCTGCACTGCTGCTGCTTTGATTATTAGTATGCAATGTTGAGTTTACATTATAATTCATCATTTGCATGTGTTTTTAAGGCGCATGGAGCTAATAATATGACAAAACAATCTGAGTTTGAATTGTGTTAATTTGAATTATTGGCGAGTGTAATTTAATAAATCTGAATTTTTATATGCCAATGAAATTTCTAAATTCAAATTTCATTGTCTACTCTTCCCTGTTGATGACCCCTGACCTAAATTCTGCTGAATCTGAATTTCACATTTTCTGGTTTTGAATTTTAGATTATTGAATTTGATGTTCTGAATTTTTTTATCTTGAAAATTTGAAACTATATTTTTAAAAACTGCATATCTGCAGTCTATGAATTCAGAAAACAAAAAAATCTGCACTTTGAAAATACATCTATACAAATTTAGTCTTACATTTCAAATGTTCAATAATCAAGTTATAAAATTCAAATTCAAATTAAGAAATTGAAATTCAAAAAATGTTTAATGACATATACATTTATTTATTAAATTTTATTATTTATCAGATTTATTAAATTACAATAGTTAATCTTGATCTTGATTTTAAGCAAAAAAAAAAATAAATAAATAAATAAAAAATAAATAAATCATGATTCTCATTTTGGCCAGAATCCTGCAGCCCTACTGCCAGTATATTTCCAAACATGCTGTCTGAGAATTAATCACACTGCTGCTGTAAACCTATACTTGACTCCCCGTATAGCAGATCTATACATAGGTGGAGCTGGGGTGGAGGAAGGTCTCTGAAAAAGCGCATATGATTGCAAATGAAAATGACAATGAGGTATACAAGTGTTGAGGAGCAATCTTATAGGCTGCTGACATGACAGCAACTAACCTTGTAGTTGAAAGCAGATTGCATAGGACTTATCAATCTTGTACTGCATAGGACTTGTATGGCCACAGCCATATCACCCTACAGCTCAAGAGTGGTTACTCACTGAAGCTACGCAGGGCTGAGCTTGCTCAATACCTAGAAGGGAGACCACATGGGGAAACTCGGTTGCTGTTGGTTAGTGTTTGTTAGTGAGGCCAGCAGGGGGCACTCAACCCTCTGTCTGTATGAGTCCTAATGCCCCAGTGAAGGGGACACCATATTGTCAGTGAGCACCGTCATTCGGATGAGACGTTAAATCAAGGTCCTGACTCTCTGTGTTCATTAAAAATCCCATGGCACTTCTCATAAAGAGTAAGGGTGTCACCCCGGTGTCCTGGCCAAATTCCCTTACCCATTATGGGCTCCCAATCATCCCCATCCACCAAACTGGCTCTATCACTGTCTCTCCACTCCACCTATAGCTGTGGCTGTGCCCTGTGGCTGCTGTCACATCATCCAAGTGAATGCTGCACACTGGTGGTAGTGTGGAGAGACCTCCCTCTCATGATTGTGAAGTGCTTTGGGTGTATGGCCATACATGATAAATGCGCTATATAAATACACGTTACTTACTTACTAATCAGTCTGCATTCCCAATAGCGTTTCATAACAGAACTTTGTGTTACTTTGTACACTATACTCTCTCTAGAAGCAAAATGTACATTTAATTTTACTAATAAACAATAAAAATCAGCAAATTAGCTCAGTATTAACAATGATTCAAGCATACATCTTAAAAAGGAAATGCTACGTTTCGCTCACACATTTATTTTATTAATTTTGTTCAACCATTTTGTTTTGGGTGCCTGAAAAATAGCTTTTAACACAAGGTGTAGAAAATTAGATTTTATTTCTTTAGGTGAATTTAAATGTTCAGTCTATAGCCCTGTGCGAATAACTGATTACGAATTAAGGACAGGCTAAAGACCACATTTGCACTGCTTCAAAGTAACATCACCAACTACTGGCCTGACATAAATAATGCAGCATTTTTAGCTGATTTTGCTAATCTGTGTGAATGAAGATGATTTTAATTATGTTCTTATCTGTACACAAAGGTTTATAAAATGCAAAGGAAAAACAATCTACACTGTTGTCATGAAACATAGCATTAGTCTTGTCATGGAAAAAGTGAGCACACCCTCTCTTTGGACATAAAACAGTTATTTGTTAGTTTTCAGATCTCTAATTATAGCATGATGAAAATTAAAGTTAATTTTGACAGAGTTAAAGAACCCCCTTAAGAGCTAGTTATGAGGCAGCGTGCTATAGCCTGAGGGACACTGACTAGCACAACACCAGAATATTAATTCACAGCTTGTCATGATTTATTACTAGCTTGTGCATGTTTTGCATGTAGAATTTCTTATGTAAATCCAGAGTCATTGCATCACATTCTATGATTACTATTTTTTTATTATGTTGAGTTAAGCTATTTATTTTTAAATAAATATATATATTTTAAAACTTCAGATTTGATTTTTTTTACTCCAAATGACGTACTAAAGACTAAACACTGGCCTTATACAGTCCTTTATTGACTATAATTTGTGTTATTATTACATACAAACATTTTATTGTAGTAATCTTAGAGGATAATTAATTGTTTACAGTTATTTATTATTAAAAATGAAAATTGTATAAATGAGAGGATAATAAACTGTTTGTTTAAAAAAAACATGCAATATTAAAAATGGTTTCTTAAAAAATATTTTTTTACAAAAAGTAAAAAAAAAATCTAAATTATGAGAAATTATAAATATGACTGTGTAAGCAACTAAGGAAATAATAATAATAAAAAAATCTATTTAATGAATAGTCCAAAAAGAGATATTGGGACTTAAAGCTACATTTCACCTCCAAAAAAATATTTCCTCATCATTTACTCACACTAAAGTGATTCTAAACTTTTATGAGTTTCCTTCTTCTGTTGAGCACAAAAGAAGATCTTTTGAAGTGTGTTGGAAAACAGCAGCCATTAACATCCATACACTGTAGGAACAAAACATACTCTGGAAGTCAATGACTGCTGCTTTCAAACATTTTTCAAAATATCTTCCTTTGTGTTCAACAGAAGAAACAAGGCTCCAGTAAAAGTGTGCTGACTCTGCAAACACACTAGCAGTGCTGAACATTTACAGAAAACTTAACATTATTTATCTGCCACTATAATCACTGATACTTTGAAGACGAATCATTCTAGAGATGCATCAAAATGACCAGTATCCTATACTGAGCAAATCGATCGGGTCCTCAGTGTCCTACTGGTGACAAACCATCAGTGAGTTTTCATATGAAAGACTTCAGTGTCTTTTCACTGGATTTAGGGAACTTCTCCCCTTCTTTCCTTCTTTCCCCCCAAACAGCCCCAAAACCGTCCACGTAAACACTTCGAGCTCTGCTGAAATATATACCGTGCCTCACACAACACAGCCAGCAAAACAAGGGTAAACACTTCAATGCACAAATACTTAATTATCTCTGTTTTGTGTACAACTTTGTATTAGTTTATAAAATTATCCTCAACTTTTTTGGCTGATCAAAACTCACAACGCGAAGCTCAATCTCAATATGGTCCGTTTGGATGGACCTCTTACCGTCATACGCGAAGCTCCCGGACAGCTGAATTCCCACTATCATGTACACACACATCCAGGTGTCCATCTTTAGGAAGTCCAGGAGCTGCTGGAAGACCTCGGGTAACTCACTTGCATTCCTACAACAGAAGCAAAGCAATGCCTTATCCCGATCCCGCCTCCTCTCCAGAAATACGAGAACTTTTCATTCAGCGCGAGCGCCCGCACTGAGCGGTGTGTGGAATGCTGGAAATACGGGTGGCATTATTAGAGTCTAATAAAAGCGTTATAATGACTTCTTTGGCTATTTTTTAAATTATTTATTATTTATAAAAATAAATAACAAAACGTTAAAATATGAATAGATAGATAGATGAATTTTGGTCCATTCCTCCAGACAGAATTGGTGTAACTGAGTCAGATTTGTTGGCTGTCTTGCTCGCACAAGCATTTTCTACTCTGCCCACAAATTTTCTATAGGATTGAGATCAAGGCTTTGTGATGGCCACTCCAAAACTCTATTTACTCTGTTGTCCTTAAAGCACATTTGAAATAATTTGGCAGTATGCTTGGGGTCATGGTCCGTTTGGAAGACCCAATTGTGGTTTTGATTTCCGGGCTGATATCTGGAGATGATGCTTCAGTATTTCTACATGATGTTCTTTCTTTCTGATGCCGTGTGTGCTGTGAAGTGGACCAGTCCCTCCTGCAGCAAAACAGCCCCCCTTGACACCATCGTCTGAACTTTTTCAGAGGCATAATAATCTTATTGTATGTAAAACTTGACTTTCAAGAAAAGTTCTAACAATTTCTCAAAACATGTCTTTCTCATTATTCTGCTATTAAGCATAACAGAAACAAATTTGACAATCATAACTTACCTAAAAGAGAAAAAGATTAGTCACATTAACATCTGACTTTATAAAAAAGGTTTCAACTGTAGATAGATAGATAGATAGATAGATAGATAGATAGATAGATAGATAGATAGATAGATAGATAGATAGATAGATAGAAAGTTTGAAATCATATAACAATAATAAAACAATTGTTCATCAGTCGGGCTACTTGAGCAAGCGAACATTTTATTTTTAAGTTCTTCACTAGAGCAATCACACACTGGTTCTCATTTTCTCTTTTCTTCATCAAAACCTCTTGAGAGCAAAATCTCATTAACTGCACAGTCAAACCATGGTATGTAGGTGCGTGACTGCCTGTGTTCTTGCACTTTTAATTTGCAGTTATCATTTACAGTACATTCTGGTATGCTCTAATCACAGAGCAGCTCTCGGAAAAGGAATGTCAATAGAGAAGTAACATGAACAATTTGACTAGAGTTGTGTGATTTATTTCACTTAGTGTACATGGAAATACATTCTTTTTACACTAACATATACATATTGTGGATATAAACACAATGATGATATTTAATAATATAGAATCATTTTAGTCAAGGCACTTAATATTCAAGAACCATCTTATAGAATGAGAAGCAACCAGATCTTCTTATAGATTTTCTGCAAGGTTTTAAATACCACAGTACAGATAAATGGAGGTGTTTTTCCCAAATGAAAGATTTAGAAATGCCTGAAGTGGGTAAATAATCCCAGTCTTACTTCATGCACAAACTTTCATCTGTAGTTTCTTTAACAGCTATACATCGCCCCTAAACACTAGTTATAGGCGGCATGAAAGAGTTTGGCTTGTTTTTAAAATGCTGTAGAACAAACGATTTTGTAAGCACCTCCATTGGACGACTCATTCTCGAACTGATATGACAAATCCAACACAATTGGTACTATTTACTGAAGTGCTAAGCAAACCTAAAAAGCTGAAATCAGATATAGTAAGGGCATTTCCTGTTTAACACATACTGTAAGCTGTAGACCAATCACTGCCAACTGACCAATCAGAGCAGAGAAGGATTGTAGGCAGGAAGGGTTTTAGTGTTTAGTGAGGGTATTTGAACTGCTTCAGAATAACCCGAATCCACTGTTCAGAAACAAAACTAGGAGCATTGCAATTTATCAAGGGTATCAGCATTTCTAAAGTCTATCCATACTTAATGGTTCACATTTTGATAAACTAATTTTTAGGGTAGGGACACCAAACTGACAACAAACAACTAGCTCTGAGGAAAGCAGACTGTTGCTTGCGTGACTTCGCATTGCCTTAAAGCGGACTTTTTGTGCAAAAATCTCTTTTATAAGGGGTTTAAACAAACTTGTGTGGCAAAAGTGTGTCGATATAGCCAGCCTCTAATGGTAAAAACTAATGAGTATTTTTTATAATCACTTTATAAAAGGAGTGTGCAAAAACACTTTGATTGAGACACTCCCTTTGTACGTGTCATTAGAGGGGGAAACTCCCACCCATTAGTGACAATCTCTCCCTCATTAGCACAGACAGCCCTGAGTGTGAAGCAGCCGTCTGCCATTAGAGTTTTCAAACCAAACCTGTCATATATTCAGTGCTTCCGGAAAGTATTCAGCGCTTCACTTTTTCCACATTATTTATATGTTACAGCCTTATTCAAAAATGGATTAAATTAATTTATTTCCTTAGAATTCTACACACAAAATCCCATAATGACAATGTGAAAAAATGACTTTTTGAAATAGTTGCACATTTATTAAAAATAAAAACCTGAAAAATCACATGTACAGAAGTGTTCACAGCCTTTGCTCATTACTTTGTTGATGCACCTCTGGCAGCAATTACAACCTCAAGTCTTTGATGCCACAAGCCTGGCAGACCAGTCTTTGGGAATTTTTGCCTATTCTTCTTTGCAGTACCTCTCAAGCTCTATCAGCTTGGATGGGAAGCAACGGTGTACAGCCATTTCCACATTTCTTCAGAGATGTTCAGTAGGATTTAGGTCTGGGCTCTGGCTGGACCAGTCAAGGACATTCACAGAGTTGTTGTCAAGCCACTCCATTGATATTTTGGAGTCATTGTCCTGCTGAAAGATGAAACATCGCTCCAGTGTGAGGTCAAGAGCACACTGAAGCAGGTTTTCATTCAGGATGTCTTTACATTTCTGCATTAATCTTCCCCTCTATCCTGACTAGTCTTCCAGTTCCTGCTGCTGAAAAACATCATGCACAGCATAATGCTGCCACCACCATGCTTCACTGTAGGGATGGTATTAGCCTGGTGATGAGTGCTGCTTGGTTTTCTTCAGATGAGTTCAATTTAAGTATCATCAGACCAGAGAATTTTGTTTCTTATGGTCTGAGAGTCCTTCGGGTGCCTTTTGGCAAATTCCAGGCTGGGAGTGGCTTCCATCTGGTCACTCTACCATACAGGCCTTATTGGTGGACTGCTGCACAGTTGGTTGTCCTTCTGTAAGGTTTTCCTCTCTTCACAGAAGAATGCTGGAGCTCAGACAGAATGACTATCGGGTTATTGATCACCTCCCTGACTAAGGCCGTACTCACACTAGGTACAGTTGCCTCGAACCGGGCCAAAGCACGCTTGTCCCCCCTTCCGTCTCCCCCGACGTCCTGCGCTCACACCATATCGGGCCTCGGCACGCTTACGTCATCGCTGCTGCTCTCTTCAGTGAGAAGCGCTCTCTATGGCAAGCCTTTTTAGCATTTAAATCTTTGTTCTGACTCCATAAATATATTTAGAGATATCTCTAATTATATTTTGACTTGTCATATTTATAATTCCACTACTCAGAATGACAATTAGAGATATCTGCAATTACAATTGTACTAGTACGAAATCAGATTGGAGATATCTGCAAATATATTATGACTAGTCATATTCCTCCATTGACTTCCATTGAAAAATATTTGCAGATATCTCTAAATGAATTTCGACTAGTCACAATTGTAAGTAGAGATATCTCCAAATGAATTTTGACTAGTAACAATTGTAATTAGAGATATCTCTAACTGAGTTTTTACTAGTCATAATACATTTAGAGATATCTTTAATTCATCATATTTAGAGATATTTACAAATATTTTTGAAGATATCTCTAATTAATTTACTAATAGTCGAATTACAGTTGTAGATATCTTGAATTGGATTTTTGACTAGTCAAAATTCATTTGGAGATATATCTAATTACAATTGTGACTAGTCAAAACTTATTTAGAAATATCTGCAAATATTTTTCAATGGAAGTCAATGGAGGAATATGACTAGTCAGTCATAATATATTTGCAGATATCTCCAATCTGACTAGTCGAATTATAATTATGACAAGTCAAAATATAATTAGAGATATCTCTAAATAATTTATGGATAGTCAGAACAAGATTTAATTGCTAAAACGGCTTGCCATACGCTCTCACCCAGTAGCACAGTGGAGATTTCTCTAGTTATATTTTTCAGTCGTTTGTTATGCATTGACATGCAGTCAAATATTTTGCCAAACAGTCCTTAGGGATGCGGTGACACGCAGTCAGATATTTTACCAGACAGATACGCCACTTTTGGCGCTCATAAACAATCATAAAGCCCTCGTGCTGCAGGAATGAGGAGGTCTACTGAAGGCGCGCAGCTGACGTGCAGTGAGGGGTTTGCATCTTTAATAAACTACGGCAGTTTGCGTTCACTGAACAGTAAGAATGATTAATAAATCCATATGAAACAACCCCTTAAAAGTCACGTATCGCTTTCAGTTTCGGGCTTTGGCGCGTTTTGCACTCACACAAACGTACCGCGCCAAAGCCCAAGTGATCGCGCTCAGGCACACCTCTTCCAACCGGGCCAGGGCCGGCCAAGTGAACCGTGCTTGAGCCCGATTCAGCGCACTCACACTTCTCAAATGATCCGGGAAACGGGCCTGGGCACGATATGGATGGCATAGTGTGAGTAGGCCCTAAGGTCCTTCTCTCCTGATCACTTGGCTTAGGGCCTACTCACACTAGCCAGCTCTAGAAAGATTCCTGGTGGTTCCAAACATCTTCCACTTCGACTTACGGATGATGGAGGCCACTGTGGTCTTTGTAACTTTCAGAGCAGCAGAGATTTTTCTGTAACTTTCCCCAGCATTGTGCCTCCAGACAATCCTGTAGCAATTTCCAGGGTATTGTGTGTAGAGTTTTGAGGAAATAAAGAAATGTTTAATCCATTTTGGAATAATGCTGTAACATAAACAAATGTGGAAACAGTGAAGCACTATGAATACTTTCCGGATGCACGGTGGATAATGTCAGCGACTAAGAGGCATTATAAATTTCAAGTTTTAGGATGCACGAATGAACAACAAAGTCTCCATAGCCTGCCTTCTTCTGAGAAACTCCTTTTGACATTTTCAGTTTTGCACAGAGATAATGTTAAGTGTGTTGAATCTGCTAATGCAAAGGCATATGTAGCTCCACTCATTTCTCATTTGAATTTAAAGCATCAGTCCACAAAACAACACAATTTGCATTAAAGCCTAAAAGGGTCAGTTTCAAAGTGTTATAAAAAATGTTGTGGTGTATTTTTAACTGAAACTTCACATACAATCTAGGAACATCAGAGACTTATTTTAGATCATGTAAAAGGGGCATTGTAGGTCCCCTTTAATTTACAGTAAGCAAAATAAGATGCACTAGAACACACACCTCTTCACTCTAGAATCTGCTATAAAACAGCCAATGATATCTGGTTAGAGCCAGTGCTGCAGAATACACTGAAAAAAACCAAAGCTAACCCGTGCTCTACAACCTCCTGGCATTGCCTGATGGTTCGGTGTGTCCCGGGCTTTAAAATGTCAATGTCTGTGAACTGTAAGTATGCAGGCAGATGTTCAGGCCAGTCTTATTTCCCTGAGCGTGTCTGTGTGCAGAATCATTTAAGGTTTAGATACTGAGGAAGAACATTGTTCCAGAACTGAGGGTCCTGAGCACCATCTGTTTGCTTCCTTATTTTAACATTCTGTTTGCCTCTTGGTCTAGTTTTCTGGGTTTCTGTCTGTCCAGTCTGCCTGCGTGCAGGTAACACATTGGGTTTGGCTTTCTGTTTTGTTATTTTCTTGGTCTTTTCGTTCTCTTCTTCACTTTCGTCTTCCTCTTGACCTTCTTCCTCTTCACTTTCCTCCTCCTCCTCCTCCTCTTCTTCCTCACCCTCTTCTTCCTCTTCACTAGTTACTGTTTGTTTGTGTCTATTTTTCTCAGTTTTTATATTCTTTTTTTCCCGCTTAGTTTCTTCTTCCTCCTCTTCTTCCTCTTCATTACCCTCTTCTTCTTCTTCTTCCTCTTCAGTAATTGTTCTCTGTTTTCTGCCATCTTTCCCAGTTTTTATATTTTTATTTTTAGGTTCATTCTCCTCTTCTTCACCCTCTTCTTCTTCCTCTTCACCCTCCTCTTCCTCTTCTTCCTCCTCATCTTTATTTTCCCTCAGCTTGCTGTTTTGTTTATCTTTTTCAACATTTTCTTTCTGCTCTCCTTCTTCCTCCTTTTCTTCCTCGCCTTCTTCCTCTTCCTCTTCATTAGATTCTCTCTGTTTCTTTTCCTTCCATTCTGCTTCTTCTTCCTCCTCCTCTTCTTCCTCATTTTCTTGCTGTTCTTCCTCTTCCTCACTAGTTTCTCTTGTTTTTCCACTGTTTTGCTCTGTTTCTTCCTCCTCTTCTTCACTCTCTTCTGCCTGTTCTTCCTCTTCGCTGGTGTCCTTCTGTTCTGCTTCTTCCTCCTCTTCTTCACCTCCTTCTTCTTCCTCAGTTTCTCTATCTTTCCTTCCATGTCTCTCTTCCTGCTTCTCTGTTTCATCATCATCTTCTTCTTCCCCACTTCCACTTTTGTCCTCTGTGTTTTCTTCATTATTTTCTTCATCATCTGTTTCCGCTTCTCTAAATTTCACTTCACTACTTTTCATTTTTCCTTCTTTCTCGCCCTCTTCATCTTCTTCTTCAATTTGTTCATCTCCTTCCTGTCTTTCACTGCCTTCCTCTGACAGTTTTTCCTCTTCCACCTCCTGCTCTTCTTTCTCTCTCACACTCTCTTCTCCCTCATCTTCGCTACTGTTCTCTTCTTTCATTTCTTCATTATTTTCCTCTTCTTCTTCCTCTTTTGTCTGGTTTTCCTCTTCCTCTTCCTGATTTTCCTCATCTTCATTCCCAACTTCACTCTCTTCCTGTTCTCCTTCCAATACATCCTCTTCTTCCTCTCTTTCACTCCCATTTTCTTCACTCTCTCCTTCCTCTTCATCAGATCGATCGTTCTTGCTAACATCCTCACTCTCAGATCGTTCAGGTTCCCCCTCATTACTGCTCTCTCCTTCCTCAGCATCGGTTTTCTCCTCATCCTCAATCTGTCTCTCACTGTCTTCATCCTCGCTTTCTCTCTCTTCTTCCTCATCTTCAGCATCTTTATCTTCAGTTTCTCCTTCCTCTTGTCCTTCACTTTCCTCCACCTCTTCACTTTCAGCCATGTCTCCACTTCCTCCTTTACTCTTCTCTCCCTCAATTTCACTGCTCTTTCCACCATCATCGCCATTCTCTTCCTGTCCAACTGCATCACTTTCCTCTTCTTCGCCTTCCTCTTCCTCACTGTCCTCTCCTCCTTTTGGAGCATTCTCACTCTCTCCTTCTGGTTCGTCTTCAAAAGCATTGTCTTTCTTCCCACAACCTTCACTGTTATCCTCCTCCTCAGCGACACTCTCTTTTTCTTCTCTTTCTGTCTCATGTCCTTTCACATCTTCATCATCATCATCATCCATTTTTTCATTACCACCTGTATACACTTTATCTGAAACAAGCTCATTCTGTAAGTCCTCTACGATCTCCTGTTTGTTTCTGTCATCTGTTTCCTCAGTTGCTGATATATCTTGAACTGTGGTGTCTTGCTCCACTTCCTGCTCTATCAGGATCTTATTTCCTGCTGTTTCCTGAGACGCCGATGCACATGATGACATCTCATTACTTTGTTCTAGTGACGTTTCAGAGAGAACTTCAGCTGCTTTTATCAGTAGTGGTGCAGCTATAGCCATAGCTGGTAGCACTGAAACTACACTACCCATAAGGCTCTGCTCAGACTGTTGATGAGGGGTCTCTGTTACCAAAACCGGCTCTTTATCTTCAACTGTTTTCAATTTCCTCTTGTTAAGCGGTGACTGCCTGAGCTGAGGTGATGAACTTGTTGAGCTGAACAGTTTACCAGATTCAGCTGCTTTTGGGGCGGACGATTTATTGGTTGCTGATTGGTTATTGGACCATAAATTGGAAACTGAGTGGCTTCTCTCTGGAGCTAAGCTTTTAATAGAAGGAAATTTATGTTTCTGTTCCGCAAGTGCTTTGTTGGTGGATGACTGGCTATTTTTCTGGTCAGACTGCAGGGTAGAAGCGGATTGGCTTTTTTCTGCATCTGATTTTTTGCTCTTTATTGTGGGAAATGATCTATTCTCTGAGCTCTGAGGTGAATTACTGTTCGTTTCCCCTTTTTCTGTTGCTTCTTGTGTTTGCATTGCAGATCTAAGCTGCAAACTTGAGTTTTCAGGCTCCACTTTGGACTTTTGTGTTGAAACTGATAGAGGGCTGGGTGTTTGGGGTGATAGTTCTGCGATTGGGCCTCTTTCAACAGCGGTTCTCTTGTTTTTTGCTTTCTTTGCTGTATGATCACTAGGGGTGTTAACATCCATCTTTTCATTTCCTTTTTTTAGGGTGCTTTGCATTTCGGCTGTAATTTTGACTGGTGTTAAGTTCCGCTGTTCCTGTGTGTTGATCAGTGTTTCAATTGAAGGCTCAATGTCGCTTTGAGGCGTTGGTTTAACTTTACTAACTTCCATCTCACCGGTGGGCATTTCTTGAACCTTGATCGGTGAATTGACCCTTTTTGAGGCTTTTTCTGGAATACCAGCCTCTTTGCTTATAGGAGATTGGACCTCTTGAGTGCTTGTTGGTGTTGTTCTTACTTTTTCAACTTCCTGAACTGAAGAACTTGTCAGTGGAATTTTAATTGAACTTGACTTGGTCTCTTGCTCTGTATCAGAAAGAGTAATAACCTCTTCACCTCTGGAATCTTTACTATATCTGTCTGCTTTTGCAACAGTTTCCTTTAAATCAATATTTGTACTCCAAGTTTTACTAAGTTCTTTTGCTGATATTCCATCTGGAGATGATTTGACTTCTATTTTTTTACCTTTATATCTATTATTTGTACTCTGGATAGTTGTTTTGACTATTTTGGGTTGCACTTTGCTTTGCAGTGCTGTAACAGAAGATTGTTCCTCCACCTCTGCATTGTTCTCTGCATCTCCAGGCCTGGGCTTCTTATGCATTAGATTGCTTGATGATTGAGATTCTGTTATTGATGGATGTGAAACAGAAGCAACCTGTAATTCAGTAGGCAGAGCCTGCTGAAATACGTTCTCTTCCCTTCCAGCAGAATTCTGTTCAAATAAAACAGTACATGTCTCAATTATTAATACAGTTCCCCTATAAATAATTTTGTCATCTTGAGCGCGATGAGCTATTGCTCACCTTGTCTGACAGGCTGTTTTCAGACGTTTCAACACACTGGCAGTCGTCTGGGCTCTTGGTGATGGGTGTGACTGTATTCATAAGAATGGCAGCTGCTCAATTTTGACTATCAATATTTCTTGCTAACAGATAAAGTGGGATCTTGAGAATATATAAAATATATATTTACATGAAGGTTCCTTGGAAAGAACTGTGATGGAGGTATCCACAGGGGCATCAGTATTAATGTGTTTTGGAGTGCCTTTTGCAGATCTGGGCTGTAGGATGGTGCCTGTTAGGGCAAGTGCAGTATAGCTAGTTGTGAGAGGAGGAAGATTGCTAAATTCTGGACCAAACTGTGCAGATGAGCTCTCCTGAAACATAAACACAATTTATTTAGCATCTTAGTACTTTATTTTTCCAAAAATAAAATGTGTATGTCATACAACATTTGCTAATATTTTGTAATTCACTTTTTGGGGGTTTACCTACAAGCTCTCTCATAAAATTACAGTATATACAAAATTCTGCTGCACAGGTTCTGATACACACATCATCATGCCACCTGTTACAACAACTACACTGACTTCCTATTACATCACAGATTTGATTTTAAGACCTTGATTTTAACCTTTAAAGCAGTGCATAGGCTAGCACCAGGCTACATCTGTGACCTGTTGACTCTCATCACCCCAGCCCGCAGTCTTCATTCTGCATCGGGATTTACCCTGTATCAGCCACGCTGTAAACTCAAGACCATGGGTGGGAGGACTTTCTCATACAGTGCACCTAAGCTTCAGAATGCACTACCCATCAGCATTAGGAATGCTGCCTCTCTGGACTGTTTTAAGAAACTTCTTAAGACTTATATTTTTATATATATATATATATATATATATATATATATATATATATATATATATATATATATATTTTTTTTTTTTTTTTTTTTTTTTTTTTTTTGCATTGGTTTTATGCTGGATTGCTGGATGAACAATTTGTTAACTTTTTATTCTGTCTTATGGTTCTTTTATTGTTGTGTTGTTTTGCTTGCCTTGCATTGTTAGTATTTTGCCTTTTAGCACTTTGAGTTTAAGAAAAGCACATTACAAATAAAATTAATAATAATAATAATAAATCACTGTTTACATACCATGTGTTCAAGAAAATAAAATCAGCAGTCACTGGCAATAATATCCGCTAAAGTCATGCAAATTTTTGATGCACATGAAGGATTTCTTTGGTAAATGTGTTTCCATCTCAAGATGTAAAATCTAATCAATGTAATCTAATCTTAACTTTTTAACACTTTTTAGTTTACTTACTTAATATACAATACTTTGTTGATTTCTAACAGGTCAAATCTAGTAATCTGTATTATTTGCATACTCAGAAAACCATAGTAACGATAAACAGATTTTTATGAGTACCATTTTGTCAAGCTAATTTCCAGCATGCTTTGCTTGAGAATCTAGAAGTAAATGTTACAATAAAGTGTTCTGGCACAACATTAATACAAGGACAGATCTGTTATTGTTTAATGTTCTATTATGTTCCATGGTACATATGTCTGCATTTTTGGGTAGGATTTTGTTTGTGTTTAGGTTGAAGATGGGCCTACTTAAAATGCTGCTTTATTTAATAAATAATACTTTATGTAAAAATGTATGTTTATTAGATGCTGTAGCTCAACTTAAATGTTTTTAAGGCAATTGACGTGCATGCTATTAATTAACTAATGACATTTTGCAGTGTGGTTTAAGTGCATCTTGTTTCATCCATAAAAAAATACATGCTTAAAACAATAATAACTATTAGAAGTATTTGTCATGGTAACTAATGGAACCTCACAAAGTGTTTTGAAAAATCTGATTCAAGGTGAAGCATTAAATAATAGAATCAATTCATACAAAAGCACAAGAAGTCACATTTAATGTGACCTTCATGTACAAAAGAAAAGAAAAAAGGTTCATTTTTAATAAAAAACACCTCCTGCAAAGTACATAAACTGGTTTAACGCTAAGGGAACACCCTATACATCTCTCTTAGAGTACAGATGGTCAAAGAACCAACACACAGAATATGGAGCACAGAACAAACTGGTTTAACCGAAGTGTTCAATTTCTTACCTTCTGTCTGCGTCTGGCACGTGTTGATAGGCTCCAGCGATGAGAGGTTGGAAGAGGTGAGGAGAGAGAGGTGGATTGTGAAACAAGAGCAGATTCAGGGTCTGGAATATGCTCTAATGGTTGCCCTTGTATCATGGTGGTATAACACCTGTCCAGGTAAGAGTAGGTAACGTCTTCATCCTCCAAACAAACTTCTTCATTTTCCTGTTGTCGTGGCCGTGCGAACACTAGCATATGACTGGAACCACATGCCACCTACATGCACACAAACAGCCACAAAAAAAGATATGTCAGTTGAAAGATATTTCCTTAGTTTGGCATTTAAAGGAATAAAATGAACATGATAATATGATTATCATAACTTTATATCTTACAGTCATGACTGAGTATTCAAAGAACCTCTGGCACACGGTTGGAGTGAACTGATTGGTGAAGTTTTCATCTCCATGGCCTAACTTCCCGTGACGGCCATCTCCAAACGTGTAGAGAAGACCACTATCTGAAAACACAGAGGAACGTGTATGTATACTATATGAGAAGTGTAACAATACATATGTACCATAAAAGTAGTAAACGTATAAATTGTAGATTTCACTAATTGTAAATGTCTTGATTAAAAGGTCTTTCATTAACTAATGCAATATATCAACATGAACTTGCTTTTAACCAGTTAATAGATTTTTACCATAGCTTTGTTGCAATATTTTACCATTGTGAACACATTAACGATAACGTAAAATATATGGCACTAACAGTTAGTTAGAATTATTATCCCTCCTGAATTATTAGCCCCCCTGTTTATTTCTTTCCCCAATTTCTGTTTCACGCAGAGAATATTTTTTCAACACATTCCTAAACATCTTTTTTAAATTCATCTCTAAAACTGATTTCTTTTATCTTTGTCATGATGACAGTAAATAATATTTGACTAGATATTTTTCAAGACACTTCTATACAGCTTAAAGTGACATTTAAAGGCTTAACTATGTCAATTAGGTGAACTAGGCAGGTTAGAGTAATTAGTCAATTTATTGTATAACGACTATCAAAAAAATATAAAGCTTGAAGGGGCTAATAATTTACCTTCAAATGATTTTTAAAAAATTAAAAACTGCTTTTATTCTAGCCGAAATAAAACAAATAAGACTTTCTCTAGAAGAAAAAATATTATCAGACGTACTGTGAAAATTTCCTTGCTCTGTTAAACATCAGTTGGGAAATATTTAAAATAGAAAAATAAATCAAAGGGGAGGCTAATAATTGTGATTTCAACTGTATATAGTTGAACTACCCAAACCTCAATCACAAATACAACTTTCAGGCAACATACGAATCTATTAAGTTAGCATGAAGTAAGCTAAAAGTGTCCTCCAAATGTAAATGTAATACAGGAATGTTCATTTATATGGCTCATTCCAGAATTGTGGGTACATTTCAAGCATTATAAATTCATTTTATTTAAATCGAGATGACAGAATCCAGAATCAATTATTATTGTAAAATATTGTAACATGCTTAAATGTAATAGGGAGCAATTGATGCCTCTATTAATTGTTGTTTAACTTATTGTCAAACCACTAACAGAGTTGACATTTCCCATCGTTTTGTGCTTAAGACGCTTACCTCAAAAAGGGGGAATGAGAAATTCAATGAAATGTTAAAGCAGGCGTGGCCAACCCTGTTCCTGGAGATCAACCTTCCAGCAGATTTCAGTTGCAACCCAAATCAAACACACCTGGCTGTAATTATCAAGTGCTGTTCAGGTCCTAATTAATTGGTTCAGGTGTGTTTGATCAGAGTTGGAGCTGAACTTTGCAGGTAGGTCGATCTCCAGGAACAGGGTTGAGCACCACTGTGTTACAGCAAGAGAGTTGACATAAAATTAATCTCCTATTGGTGTATCCTAATTATTTTTTTAAATATCAGATTGTTCTGTCTTTTCATAAGTAATGAAACAGTTGATCAGACCATCAGCAGGCACAAAATGTATTATATATAACTGAAAATAAAAATTATACAAAATAATAATACAGAAACTAAATATTTAAACACACAAAACATATGAAAATTATAATAACTAAAGCTGAATGTATGGTTCAAGAGACAGAGACAGAAAAAAAATCTGTATAATGGGATAATGAAGTTATTATCATCAAGACAAAATGTCCCTAAATACATAGACAAATGTTATTACATTATTCAAAATAATTGAGGTTAATCTATGAGACAAAATGTACCCACAATTCTAGAATCACCCACATGTTTCTGAGTAAATGACGCAGAAATCTTTCGTTCATTTATTTATAGGTAAATCTAATCTATTCTGACCTTTACATTAATCGTCAGCAAAGCTCCACATCTCCAAAATATCACTTGCAAGTGAAACACTCCACTTGAATGAGTTAAATGAACAAGAATTAAATAAAACTGATATCTACAGTTTAAAATTCATTCATTCATTTTCCTTTGGCTTAGTCCCTTTATTTATAGCCATAGCGGAATCATCGCCAACTTATCCAGCATATGTTTTACACAGCGTATGCCCGCAACCCAGTACTAGGAAACTTCCATACACACTCATGTCCTGCAGATTTTAGCTCCAACTTGCCTCAACACAAATGCAAGGATGCTTCTAGAAGGCCTTGTAATAGCTTGATTAGCTAGCAGGTGTGTCTGATTGGGATTGGAACTAAACTTTGCAGGACACCGGCCCTTCAGGACCTAGTTTGGACATGCTTGCTTTACAATATCCTTTAATCCCTTAAAATATTAAGTGCATTAAAATACTTTACCTGTTATAAGTGCACTATGCTGTTCTCCACATGTGACATGGGTGACTCTGCCTTTCCTGAAATGGCCGACAGCCACCGGTGAATCTGCTACAAACACAAGCGTCCCTAACCCCAACTGCCCAAACTCACCACCGCCAAAACAATATAACTCATCCTCTGCAAGAAAGAGAGATACAATTCAAAAACATCAGGAGCATTCAGCATTAATGGCATAATGAGAGGAAAAAAAGAAACAAAAGAGATAATTGTGTGTGAAACTGAACAGTGTGATTTCAGTGGCTTAAAAATCCCAATCACACATATTGAAATACTTTGGTTACTTATTCTGCATAGCAATTTGCACAGTTCTGACTCATTTTCATCCTGGTAAAGCAGTTCATTGTAAAGCTAATTAACACTTTATAAATGGCTCAAACCTACTCATTCCTCCATAAATAAACTGTTTTCTATGACTTTTGATTTATTACTCATTAATTAATCCTTTACATGCCTGTTGACAAATGGTTGACTATATTTTGAGTCACTTTAATTTATTGAGAGAAGTACTTAATTTAACTCAACCCGATTGAGCCATGTCTACCATCTGGTTGAAGTATGTTATGCCAAAACAATCCACTAGTTGTCAAAAACTCAATTAACAGCACTGGTCACAACATTTCTTCTACCATACTAAAGATGCATGATGGTATTTTCATGATGGGATTAATAAAGCACAATGAAAAACATGCTTCTCATTCAGTTTTGATTACTAATTAGAATTATTTACTACTTTATTACACTTTAAAACTTGTAGTTAACTCAAGATTGACTGAAAGTTAATTTTACTCATTTCAAAAGAGTTTTGAACTCAGTGTTAAGGGTAATGAGTTAATTAAATACCTCATTACTTCAACTAAAATGGAGTAAGTTAGTACAGTAGTACTCATATATAGATTAGTTTTTTAACTCAAATGGTTTGTTGCAATCGGTTTCCTCAAACGGTTTAAGTTCTCTTCATTTATTGGGTTTTACTGTGCTAAAATTGCTTCGTTTACTCAAATGGAGTAAGTTCACAGTACTCATTAGGATTAGTTTTTAAACTTCAATGGTTTGTTACAATCGGTTTCCTCAAATGCTTTGAGTTACCTTAACTTTTTGGTGTTTTTTACAGTGTATTTAAAAGGATTTTTTTAATGTATCACTGTGCACTATCAAGCAACATAACAAAAAAGATATATAGATGGTATTTACATTAAATGACTAACATCTATGTATACAGCTACATCTGATTGTTCTTAGTACACAATTATATATATATATATATATAATGTTTCGAAGAGATTTCAATAAATTAGGATTATTAATTAATTACATTATTATTTTAAATGATTTGTTTAATTTATCACTGTGCAATATCAAGCAACATAACGTAACAACATATATAGATGGTATTTACATGTAAATTAAAAGACTAATACCTATTTATTTAGCGACATGTAACTGTTCTGATAGTATACAGTTTTAAATATTTTGAAGAGATATCAGTAAGATCCAATGGCAGAAATGTGACAAATTGCTGTCTTATTCATTTTCGTATTTTATTTTAGTCCTTGAAAGTATGTAAGCATGTGAATAAGCCTGTAGGAGTTTTGACGGTGCTTGACTCTGAAGGAATTTGTGTAATTTGAAAGATGTAGTCATCCACATTGGGCCAAACCAGTTGAAAATGATCTAGTTTGGAACGCACAGACTGCTGTTTTAAAAAAGTAACAAAGGTATTGAAAAAACTGCTGTATTTTGAGTCTCAGATTAAGTTTTTCAGGACACTGTGTGTGTACATCTCCTCCATCACCTGTGAGGGCGAGTGTGTGTTTTCCTCCACATGCCACCTGCAGAACACTGTGCAAAGACTCAACCCGCTGAGGATAACTGTGATTCGCCAGCTGATGAGCAGAGAGACCCAACCGTCCATCTGCACTTTCCCCGAAACTATAAACATCCCCACTATCTGAAACACACCAAAATAACAACAATGGGGTATATGACTTTTAATTTTCAGTCAGCCAGCCCAAGCGCTTATGGTGAACTGTCTTTCCATTAGAAAACCACCATGTTTAAGATCTAATTTCTTTAAAAATCAGTGATCTTCACTTCCTGATAGACATAGGATTTAAAGTGGGTCTCAGACCGGCAAAAAGCACTGAATTAAATTTAGTTTTACCCCACCATGTCGTTTAAATATGAATATTTATTTTACCCCAGTATGTTTAATGGCGTTTCTGCACTAACCTGTTGCTAATGGCAGTACTAGTGTTTACACAGTCATCTTGTTATACACTTGAACAAATAAATGAATGCTTAAGTCTATTTTCTTGATTATATTTTAAACACATTACAACATCAATGCTGTAAAATGAACATTAAGAAATTGAAAATAGTCACTTTAAGCTTCTATCGGAAGTTTACCGTAGGCTAAAAAACACTAGCTGTGCATATAGCCCATTTAGCTGGGTGGTAAAGTGTAATATATAACAGCACAGTTTTCATGTTAATATTCGAGTATTGTGTTGATTGACAGGTGCTCACCTGTGACCAGAGCAGAGTGTCTGTATCCACATGAGACCCAGTGAATGGACTGCCCCATATTCAGCTCTTTAGGCAATAAGGCATGGCTGTCATTTCCAAATCCAAGCTGACCCGCAGAGTTATCACCCCACAGAAACAGCCTGCCATCTTCTGTAATAGGCACAGATCAATTATTTTTGTTTTTAATAGCTTTAGATTAGTTTATAACTGCTGTGCATCCAAAATGGAAAAGAAATAAGAACTTACCTGTAAGTGCAGCAGAAGTGTGGTCACCTGCAGAGAGCAATTTGATTGGAGCATAGTCACAAAAGGGGCGGAGCCGCTGGAAAGAGATGCTGTCGTTACAGTGGCCCAATCCCAGCTGTCCATCACTGTTTCCTCCAGCTGCAAGTATTTCTCCTTGTGCTGTAGAAATGCCACATGTTCATTTACTTACAATTCTCTGTCAATTTGCTGGAACGGGAGTTTTTAAGTACACGGAGTACAGGGAAATATAAGGACATAATGTTATAACATAATAATAATAATAATAATCATCATCATTACAAGTTAAATATTAAAATAAATAAACATTTAAGTAATATAAATAAACAATTTAGGAAAAAAGAAACTAAAATTTAGCTAATAATTATAATTTTTTATAATTTATAATTTATACAAAAAATGTTTGAATAAGAATAAGATCAATAAATTTTTTATAATATTATCAATATTAAATAGATAGAATCAAGCTACAACAAACAAAGATAAATTAAATTAAACAATTATTAAATTCGACTCATACAAATGTGTAAACAAATTAATTATTTACAATTATTTATAATGAATAGTAATACTAAAGTGGTTGACTGGTACACTGTAAAAAATGCTGGGTTCCACACAATTTCTTCATGTTGACCCAAAGCAAATCAATTAAGTTAACTTAATCATTTTTTACAAATTTAAGTGAATTGATCATAAAACAATGAAGTTGTCCCGCAAAAAAAAAACATTCAGAGTTGGGATGTTTCAACTCATTTTAGATTGGTAGTTTGAACAAGCAGCAAAAGTCATTTTTTAAATGTAGGGTATATTTACAACAGTATGTTTGCCTCTAAATAAAAAGCTTTACTTACAGGTGCTTACGAGTGTGTGATCTGTCCCACAGGCAACAGACTGCGCTCTCTCACCTTTAAGAACTGTGTGATACCAAAAATAAGGCATGTAAGAAATCTATGGAGTCAACCTAGGGCCATATATACTTGCAAAATAAAAGTTTTGCAAACAGAAAATAAAGTATTGAGCAAAAATAATTAAATAAATACAAATCTCCAGAAATCGCAAAAGCAAACAATATTTTTTGAGAAATAAAATTTACTTTGCTAACAAAAATAAAGAACTTCAGAGGGAAAAGTCTTGAGAAATAATAATGAAATTTGCAACAAAAAAAACTGCAAATAAAAACTAAAACATTTGCAATTAAAAAAAAAACTATATAGATTTGCAAAACAATTTTTATAGCATCGCCTTAAAAAAACCCATCAAGTTAATTGCAATGCTCATTTTGATTTGCTTTTTAGTCAATCGTGAGTTTGCTATGATGTTTTCTCTTTGCACTTCGAGTTTCTGTGCGTTTCACTTTGTGGTCTTGATTTGACAAGAGGGCGGAGTCTACTGGGCTAAACTCTTATTTCTCAAGACCCTTTGCAGTTCTTTATTTTTATTAGCAATTTTTTTTTATTATTTAAAAAATACATTTTGCTTTGCGATCTTTGGAGATTTGCATTTAATTATTAATTTTTGCTCAATACTTTATTTTTTGTTTGCAAAACTTTCTTTTATTTTGAAAGTATAAATGGCCTTAGATTGACTCTGAGTCAAATCTGAGCATGATTATAACAAAAACCTTCATGCACATCTCACCTTTAACACAGACCGGTTTAGTCACTGGTCCTTTGATTTGCAGACCAAGCTGACCTCTGTTATTATCTCCAAACACAAACAAACGACCCTGCTCTGAAAATATAATTACAGAGACTTTTATTACCAAATATAACTACAGTATAGTTACAAAATTGCAATGAGAATATGGAGAGGCAACAACCTGTTACAAAGGCTGAGTGTGACTGTCCGCATGAGATGTGCACAGGTATATCACTCTTCAGCCATAACCTGCTGGGCACATTGTTTGCTATTTTACTCTTTCCAAAGGTAAATACAGCACCTGTGTCTGCAACAAGAAGCAAATAGGTTTAGTGCAAAATATGCTCTCAGTCAGAGTTTTTCACATACGGAGCAAAGAGCAAACATTCATGTGCTCAGGAAGACAGCCCATTTAAATCCTTAGAAAGCTTCCAGCTTCCCAGAATAGCCTGTGTGTGTAATGCTTGAGGAGCTCAAAGACATGATTATAGTGTCACACACACAACGTCTTATAAGCACATGCTAAAATACACACCTGCATAGACATACATCATACAGACTGACAGACAATGATACAGATAGATAGATAGATAGATAGATAGATAGATAGATAGATAGATAGATAGATAGATAGATAGATAGATAGATAGATAGATAGATAGATAGATAGATAGATAGATAGATAGATAGATAGATAGATAGATAGATAGATAGATAGATAGATAGATAGATAGATAGATAGATAGATAGATAGATAGATGAAAGGAAATATCGTGCCTGGTATTTCTGTTTCTCCAGTCATCGCCTTCTACACCTCTGTTGTGCAGACGACATTCCTGAAAAGTTTTTGTTTTAATTTACTATTCTGTTTAATAAGCAAATACACGTGTGTTGAAAGGAGAGAGAGAGTTTAGAAAAGTGCATCCGAAGGCACCGGCATGTGGGTGTGGGAGGGGTTATTGAGTACGTGCACGACAGCCGTCACTCATCACGTAGGGTTTCTTACCCCACCCCTTCTCCGTGTTGGCCCAGCCTCCCGTCTAGTACTGTATGACAGGGAGCGCGTGGACATCCTCTGACTTGGCAGTGTTGCAGTGTACAACTTTAAATGTGTTTATGCATATGTTGTAAAAATGTTTGCTCTCAAAAGTAGAATATATTACAGCCTGGGGTTTGCAAAGTGTTGCCAAAGCAGGAATTTTAGGTAAGTCGAAAAGTTTGCTCTAAATATAAAACGTGGTTTTCTGATATCCAAATTTTTGATGACAACTTTAATAATTAAAAATCTAAATGGAGAGATTTAGCGTACTGTTACTCAATTGTTATTTTGCTGAATTCTGTTTAATATGAAATTTATGTTATCCTTCTGTTTTATTTTAAAAAAATTCATTTGATGTTTAATCTCATTTAAATGCATTTGTGACAAATAATTTTTAATTGTTGCAAAAAAAATTACTGGTTTTATTACACACTCTTTCAGTTTATAAAGTCATCAAATTTGCTTGCATAATACTTTCAAAGCATCATAAAAATAATGTTTTGCAACTATTATTCATCTATTTAAGTTTTGTTCCATGTTCTTGTTATGCTCAAGTTTTCCACTTTTCTATATTTCAGGTGTTTTAATATAAACATGTATAGACTATCCTTTAGATTCTGTTTTTAAATTTACACATTTTTTCAGTGTATTAAGTCATCAAATTTGCTTGCATAATACCTTTAAAACATTATGAAAAAATGTTTTGCAACTGTTTTTATAAAGCATATTTAAGTTTTATTTTCTCATTATGTTCAAGTGGTTTTCTACCTGGCGACACGGGGGCTCAATTGTTATCACTGTCGGTCGCTGGTTTGAGTCCCTTCTGAATCAGTTGGCATTTCTGAATGGATTTTGCATGTTCTACCTGTGCTTGTGTGGGTTTCCTCCGGGTGCTCCGGTTTCCCCCACAGTCCAAAGGCATGTGTTATAGGTGAATTGAAAAACCAAAACTGGCCGTAGTGTATGTGTGTGCATGTGAGAGTGTATGGTTGTTTCCCAGTTCTGGGTTGCAGCTAGAAGGGCATCTGCTGTGTAAAACATATGCTAGATAAGTTAGAGGTTTATTCCTGATGAATAAAGGGACTAAGCCAAAGGAAAATGAATGAATAAGTTTTCACCTTTGCTTTTTCATGTCCACAGTGTGGGAAAAGCAACTTTGGACAGTGTCAACCTGAAGGGTCGCAGCTTTCTAACACTTAAAGACTATAATGCTGAAGAAATTAAACATATCCTGTGGGTTTCCGCTGACCTAAAACATCGAATAAAGCACAGAGGAGAGGTACGTTATTAACTAACAGAACTAATCTTTCCTTTTTGATAACTGATGTAATCAACAATGTTAATTTTTCCATCTTCAGCATCTCCCATTACTTCAAGGCAAATCTATTGCCATGATATTTGAGAAGAGGAGCACTAGGACCCGCATGTCCACTGAAACAGGTGCCATCCTAAGAGAAAACACTTCAGTTTATCAGCTCGCTCTCTGAGCAGAATGAATAGGGATGATTACAGAACAAAGGATTTGATGCATAGACAGTTTCTCTCTCTTCCACTAGGATTCTCTCTGTTGGGTGGTCATCCATGTTTCCTCACGCCTCAGGATATTCATCTAGGGGTCAATGAATGCACCACAGACACGGCCAGGTCTGAGTTCACACACACAATACAAACACTACATTAAATGTAAACAAAAATCTGTTAATTAGTTGATACACAATCTACATTTGTTTTAAAAATTATAAATACATTTTTTATTAATTATAAGTTTTTTAATTAAATTGCGTTACAATTTTAAGTAAAATCAAATTAACTTTGCAAGTAATTTTAACATACCTGTATGCTAAATTGTCTGTAGTGTATGAGTGTGTGTTTGAATGTGTGTGTGGATGTTTCTCAGAGATGGGTTGCGGCTGGAAGGGCATCCGCTGCGTAAAAACTTGCTAGATAAGTTGGCGGTTCATTCCGCTGTGGCGACCCCGGATTAATAAAGGGACTAAGCCGACAAGAGAATGAATGAATTAGGAAATTACCCATGACAATTTTAATGTAGTTTGGTATATTTACATTTGGCCCACATCCCTTAATCAGTTTAGTTTTTGGTACTTTCAGAAAAAGTTTGGGCACTCCTGGTATAGAGAAAAATATATGTTAAACATAAAACTTGTTAACATCTTTATTAATAAAAAGATTCATTCATTTGATTAATGAAAGAGGAGATAGCTCTTGGACAACACTGCAGTATTATATACATTTTAATATAAAAATGTAGATGAAAATGTCTTTAGATTCTGAAAGCTTTTAACCATTTTATATGATATTTTAGCTTTTGTGCATCTAATTTAATTGTTACATTTTTTAAATAACATTAATAGACACATGACTTTATTTAACCTCCTGCTTAGTGGCCACATAAGTGGATATCATATTTTAGCTCTTATGTGGCTATTTAAAATACTTTGAATGTTTTATATTTTGTTACAGACATACAATGTCATCCTGCAACTGTTTTGTAGCATATGAAATGTCCCAAACACTATTTTTAACTGTCCAAAATGGGAAAAAAAAATTGTTTTTACTCTCTGGTAGTCAAAACATATTCAAAAGAAATTTCTATGTTAAATATGCATTACAAAACCGTCGGGAAAAAGTGTTCTATGTAAATTCGAACCACGAGTCCACATACATGGACATAATTTTTCTCTAAAAGTACATCAAATCAAAAGATGATACTTGGGTTTTTATTCTAATTAGGTTCCAATAAGCCCAAATAGCAAAGAGGAATAAAATATGCCTGTAGAAAAACACCTTGGGCCTTAAGAGGTTAAACAGAAACGTTCCATAGCTCATGATTTACTGCTTTGTGTTTTTTCCTTTACACTTTCAAATTGTGTTATGGGACCTTTAACTCTGCTCTGACCATTTTTTTAATGTTAAAAAGCTTAAACAACTAACTATTATGGATATGTTCAGTAGTTTAAAAATTCTACATTGTCTGGATTCTAGTCATGTTAAATAGCCTACAAGGTAATGACCACAATTTTACACTATTTTACAGATTTATTTCTTAGAGTAGACTCAATACAGTGATGCTTTCACATGGGGTGTATGTGTGGCAGGGTTCTTTCAGGTTTGGCAGACATCGTGTTGGCTCGGGTGTATAATCACTCGTCTCTGGAGCACCTGGATAAAGACACTTCTATACCAGTAATCAATGGTCTCTCTGACCTTTACCACCCTATTCAGATTCTGGCTGACCTGCTAACACTACAGGTACTCAGTCGCTGACAAAAGTGCATGGATTAATGAAGTACATGCACTCATGTGAACTTTTTCAATCTTACAGGAACACTATGGCTCATTAAAAGGCCGTACATTGACTTGGATAGGAGATGGAAACAATGTTCTTCACTCTTTCATGATGTCATTGGCTAAACTAGGTGTCAATCTGAAAGTGGCCACACCCAAGGTCTGTCTCTTTACATCAGTGACTTATATGTCATTCAAAATGTATTTTTTACTGGTCCCATGAAATTAAAATAACAACAAAAAATTGTTTAGATGTTAGCATTAGTATGTTAGTTTTAAGGATATCTATAAGAAAGTGTGCTACAAAACAGTGATGGTATTTACATTTAGAAGATATAAAACTGATCTAAACATCTAAGGGCTGCAGTTTGTCACCTATCTGATCAACACATTTTTTTTGATGTCACATCATACTTCAGGTTCTGATCAGATCTTCACTAATCAAATGCTTTCTTGTGTCTGACATGTCCCGCCCCCTTTAAGACACTTCTCATTTGCTTTTTTGTTTGTTTAGCTTGAGCTCACTGGCAGAGCTGTGAGAAAAACAAAATGCTATTGGCTGTTTTTTAAAGGGGAGGGGCTACTTTACGTCCCACCCTCTCTTCATGTTTCAGCTGAGATTGTCAAACATCAAATAACAATTGCACATTTCAAAGCACTTGAACACTGGAATAGTAATGTAATAGTGTTATTTAGCAGTGACACATTAAATAAATCAAAGGGGACAGTAAATGTATTTAAATTTAAAGGAAAGTATCAAAAATACTAATAAATAAACAAATAAACAGCAAGTGTTTTTAATACTGATGATTATAATTTGATCTTGAGAATGATTTCTAAAGGGTCATTTGACATTGATAATGTAGCTTTTCCATCTCAGTATTAAAGAAATAAATATATATTTTATTTATTTCAGTTTTTATTTAATAAATAACCACTTGCAATGCATAAGAGCCCTTTTATTCAAAATGATTCATATTCATTTATAATGAAAATGATTTTTTTTCTAATTCCAAATCATATACACTATACATGCATGCAATTTAACTGCTTAATATTTAGTTTCAGATATTGTCTAAATTAGTTTCTTTTCTGTAGGGTTATGAGCCAGATGCTGCTGTCACTGAAGAGGCTCAGCGTCTGGCAAAGCAGGTACTGTAAACACAGAAGGCATCAATACAGTTCATATACTAAATTAATATTAACACTCTGTCTCTCTTAATTTAGGGAGATATATTTTTAACATTTTGAGGATTTTATGATGTTATGCAAAAATACTAAAATTCTAAATAATTCTAAGTACATTTTTGTGAGTATTTTTTTCCATTGGACTTAAACTGCATGATATTAATTTGATTATTTATTGAAAACAGTGAAGGCTTTTTTTTTAAGTGACAATAGTGCCATCTGGAGGCATTAAAAGCACACTTACTTTCTTTTCGTCCTAATTTATCTGTAATTACTCCGGAATACTTGTATATATAACTCGTGAACGCTGGGGCACCCATACACTTTCTCATTCACACTCATAGACACCAATTTAGTTTACCCAATTCACCTATATTGAATGTTTATGGACTTTGGTATAGCGTGGATGGTGTTTAATCTGTCACTGCATCGTCCTATAGAAATATGTATGGAGGCTTTTGGACAGTTTTTCTTATTGTTTAAACGCAGTTCTGTAATTGTGTGAAGTTTTGAATTTAGATATATATTTAGACATTCTAAAAGACTTCTGTTTAGATGTTTTTTTGTTAGATGAATATCAGACATTGCATTATGTTTAAATCAAAGTCAATTTTATTAGAAATGGAATACAGAAAAAACATTAGATAATAATTAAAATAATACAATTAATAATATTATAATTCATATTATTAATCCAATAAATGCAGTCTTGCCTGTTCATTTCTTCCTGTGTGAGTCCACTCAATTACTCTCTATGTTTTATTTTCAAGCCTTTATTTCTGTACTCTTTTTTTTTCAGCACATTGGGCGATTTGTATTTTGCACCAAATAGTTCTCTTTTCTTTGCTTTTTGTTTTACATTTGAAATTTATTTCCAATGTTGGAAATATCCAAAACATTTACATATTTTTGTAGCTAATGCATCAAAAATAACCAAGTTTAATTTTTGTACAAAATTTCAAAACATCTATTTTTGACCAAAGATGTCCAGAGGTTTGAGTGCATCTTTATAAATGTATGCAAATCCATCATGCATTTTTATTATGTTTAACTGTATGAAATAATTTATTGTCTTTAACAACCTAATAAAACAATGTGCTTCTTTTTTTTGTTTGTTTTGTCTGGTTTTTTTTTTTTTTTTCGTTTTTTGCTCACTATATACTGAATCTATGAATAAATCCATACTGAAGTTTGGTACCAGACTGCAGTTTGTGTCAGATCCAGTGGAGGCAGCGCGGGACAGCAGTGTTCTGGTAACTGACACCTGGGTGAGCATGGGCCAAGAGGAGGAGAAGAAGAAGAGACTAAAAGATTTCAGTGGCTACCAGATCACCATTCAGGTACACAGATGTCCTAGTCTATTTTGTAAAGAGGCTGTTTGCTTAATTTATTCTATTAGTGTGAATTGCACACAAAAATAAGCCTGCAGGAATTAGCAGGAATTTACTGTGCAGCCTTATTTTGGAAATTATTTATAAAGTGCTTCTGAATATGTTTCTTTTGATTGTTTTACAGACAGGAAGCGTGGCTGCACCTGACTGGACATTTCTGCATTGTCTTCCACGTAAACCAGAGGAAGTGGACGATGAAGTTTTCTACTCACAACGTTCACTTGTTTTCGAAGAGGCCGAGAACCGCAAGTGGACCATTATGGTAAAGTGTTTATGTAATTATTTGAGCACTATTAATGCACTTATGTTCACGAAATAACAATTTCTATGTGTTTTCCTCAGGGTTTAATGGTGTGCATCCTGACAGACTATAGGCCACAAATTCCCACACTCAAATTGTAAAAAATGTGTGGGAAAATAAATCCTAAGAACAAAATAAGGTAATAAATGCATCTGTTTTTTGTCAAATAAAACGAGTAACCTGCATATGTTTGAATATTCTTTGCCAAAGGGAGTTTAATGCATATATAAACAGTTGTCTAAACCCATTACTCATTGCAAGCAGTTTGACTACCCTTTTGGTATGTTGGTGGTTGTTTTTGCCCCATTGACTTCCATTATATTAACATTTTTTGATTGCAAAGCCATGAAACCATATAATCATGCATTCTACCAGAAAGACCAGGAAGATAAATATGAATCACCCCTAAGTGGATGGAATTCAACAGCAAGGGTTAAATTCATGAATTGTCAGAATCAATGTATATAAAATGCTTTCCACAATACTTTACTAATAACAATAAATACTAATTCAGGGCTATAGGTGGTGCTGTGGCTTAATGGGAAGGATGTATTATCAGTATCGAGTGTTTTGATTTCTTTAAACTGCAGGGGGTCAGATGGGCATTACAATTGCATTTTTTACAACAAAAATATGTTGCAAAATGCATTTAGTGGAAAACAATAATAAAATTCATTACCAACCGTCAATTTCTCTCGTAGGGTTTATATGTAGTTATGTTATGTGGCATTTCTGCTTCTTCAGGTCACTCATAAACATTGTGATAACAGATCACAAACTATCTTAGGTCATCTCTTGAATGTGAAACTCTGGACAGGACAGAGGAATAACACAACATGATTTGGTGTGATAAGGTGTGTGGGCATGCATTTAAAAGCGCTGTGGAATTTTCATGTTGTGACTAATGATTCTACAAAGATAATGTATGCATGTGTTTTAGGAGGAATGTGAGGTCATTGGGCATACTTTCGTTTTTAGTTTTATTGTGACCAATGACTGACTGACCACGGGCCTGTAAACAGATCAGATTAACATGCATAACAGTCAGACAATGTTTACGAGTGGGAGGTTTCGACTTTGAGTGAAACTCGGAAGAGTAATGCTAAGTCAACGCATTGCATAAAAATGAGACAATGTTATTGAATTAAGATTTTGCAAAGAATACATTTAAATGAAGGATAGCGAATGATTCGCAGGGTGAGGCAGAGAAAACGCTAGAACAAGGGTGGAGATGAGAAGCGAAGCTGAAGAACAGGTTCGAGAATCATCCGAGACATTCTAGCCATTGCTAGGCTTTCTTTGCCTCCCTTTTTGTGACTTGGTATGAAAAAAAAATCTAAACTGAAACCTGCGATCTTATCTCATCTAAACATTGTTTGACCCTTCAGTTGTGACCTCAGGCCTGTGTGTGTGTTTGTTTTTGTATGTTTTTATTTGGGTGCATGATTGACAGTTAGGAAACAAAACGTTGTAAATTATTAAGGTTATATGAGTGCATATACGTTCATTTACATTAACAGTAGGTAATTTGGATGCTAATTGTTTCAGATGCTCATTTAGGATATGTAAATTTGCTGAACTTTACCAAAACTAAATCACTTATTGGAATTCATTTGACAAGATGATTTCAGGGAGAAGTTATATGCCAGAAAATAATCTTAATGGAAAATAGGCATTTTATCAATTGTCTCTCGTCAAAAAAAAAAAAAAACATTCAGTTCATGAAATACATGCAAAGATCCCATTTCCCAAAAGGGAAATTTGCTGTGTTTCTTTTAGAAATGGAATCCTTGTTGTGAATTAAATAGAATTTTTTGACAGGCTATACAGAAATACAAGTATCCCATACATTTTGAATTTAAAACGGTCAGGGATAAAAGCACAATAAAGCCCTGGGGTTCCATTAAGGTCCTCGCTGTAAAATCAAACAAAGTATGGCTTCAAAATACAGTTGATGCATAAAACAAACAGCACCTCAACATTTTAAAACAGGAACACAATGATTCACAAAGACATTTATTCCTTTATTCATTAATTTTCTTTTCGGCTTCGTCCCTCTATTAATCAGGGGTCGCCACAGCGGAATGAACCGCCAACTAATCCAGCATGTTTTATGCAGCGGATGCCCTTCCAGCTGTAACCCTATTCACAATACTATAACAAATCACACCATCATCCACCATGCAAACTAATTATCCTCATCAAACAACTATCTTTTGATCGCTTTTTTTAACCTCTTTAAGTCTTTTATTTTCTGATCGATTTTGGTGGTTTGTTTCACATGATTGCACTTGAATATAAAAACATATTTTTCTTCACTAGACTTCTAACTGTGTTTTCAAAGAGTATCAGCTTTGACCGAGATGTTTCCTTTAATAACAGTTTGGAGATTAAAATAAACACACATGCAACAGTTGTTGATACTGAGCATAGAAATAACATATTTTTCTCAATGGTGTAGCTCTCAATGGTGTAATTTCTTTTCCAATAATTTCTTAGAAAATCTGTACAAAGGCCATGTTCAGAAACCTTGTAAATCATAAAAAACTGTACACTAAAGTGCTAGTCTTGTTTTCATCTCTGTCTTTCTCAGGCAGAATGATCTGAGATAGAATCTCACATCTCGTTTAGTCTTTCCTGTTACGTTCATTCATTTTTGCTAATGTGGCATGATAATGACAGTAAACAATTAATAGCCCCATTCATCAGTCAACCACGTAACCTTTCGCCTCAGTGTTACTAACCAGAAAAGAATTTAAAGATTAGACTTTGTTATCAGGACACAGAAATGCAAACTAGCCAAAATTCCTCGCTTTTTAATTCAAAATAAAAGGACTGAGGAACATAAAATTACATTTTATCATCATCAGGTTACACCAATTTGTGAATCTCTTTCTTAAGAATAATGTGGGTAAACCAAACTGCCGGTAGTCTCCATTGACTTCCATTGAACAGAAGACTACGGAAGTCTATGGCAACCAAACTGTTTGGTTACCTACAGTACATTCTTTACTTGTGTTCAGCAGAAGAAAAAAAAAACCTGGCCAAAATCCAGGTGTCTCTTTTTAAACCTTGCATAATGTAGTTTGCTGGAAAATAAGAATCTGTCATCATTAATTCATTCACACCCAGAAAAATGTATGTACAGAAAGTCAATGACAACCAGCAACTGTTTGGTTAATCACATTCTTCAAAATATTCCTTTGTGTTTGACAGCAGAAACTCATAACATAACTTGATGATGGGAAATTACATAATTTAGATTATCCATACCTGTTTTATTATATTACTTAATTCAGATAATATGTTATGTAATGCTTACAAACATTAACTACAAAACCATGGTTATTGTAGTAGACCATGATAACTACAAATTAGCAATGCATTTGCTACATTAACCATAATATCAATAGTAGTCATATTTATGTTTAAACTGTTTAAATAGTAATGCAACAAAAAGGCTACAGCAACAACATATGCTTTTACTATGAAAACGTGGCTGATCGTAGGGAAAGTCTAAAGCACATTTGCATCAGCAGCTACTTTTTTGAGTCAAAATTATTTACTGACACCCAATTTATTGGATTAAGCTTGCATTTAATGTACATTATTATGCAACTTCATCAATGCACTTTCCTGCCGCTCCCTCCCTGTGTGTTTCTATGAGCCGTGCGGAGGCTTGTGTCTCGCTGCAAGAATCTGGTCGAGGCCGACCTGAACATCCCAAACCGGATCAACAGGTTTCGGTCACGCCCAGAGGGAGAATAGGTCTGGTATAAAAAGAAGTGAGGAATGTAGATTTCCAGAAAGAAACTAAGCACACTAAAGACACGCATTCAGAAAAAACTGCTCTCGAATCAAACCACCAAGATGCAGATGTCCGAGCCCCTCAGCCAGAAGAACGCTCTCTACACGGCAATGAACCGCTTCCTCGGCGCCGTCAACAACATGGACCAGACGGTCATGGTGCCGAGTCTGCTGAGAGATGTGCCGCTGGACCAGGAGAAGGAGCAGCAGAAGCTGACCAACGACCCGGGCAGCTACCTGCGGGAGGCTGAGGCCGACATGTACAGCTATTACAGTCAACTCAAGTCCATCAGAAACAACATCGAATGGGGCGTCATCCGCTCGGAGGACCAGCGGCGCAAGAAAGACACCTCTGCGTCGGAGCCTGTGCGCACAGAGGAGGAGAGCGACATGGATCTGGAGCAGCTCCTGCAGTTCCATCTGAAGGGCTTGCACGGGGTGCTGTCCCAACTCACAAGCCAAGCCAACAACCTGACCAACCGATACAAGCAGGAGATTGGCATTTCTGGCTGGGGACAGTGAAGTGCACCATGAAGGATCCACATCTACTGCGATATGATGAACTGTTGTGTTGTTCTAAGACGATCTGCTCTGCATTTGTGGAAGAGCCAAAGGGGACTAATGGAGCAGAAGTTACTGCCGAAAAAAGACAAACCGTGAAGGGAAAGTGGATTTGTCGAAGTAATGGTTTTGGTGTTGATCACTGACGTATTGCAAGGGCTGCTTCCTGTTTTGTGCCAATTTGCACTGACAGTTTCTCTTTTTAAAAACCAAAATCTCCGTTGAAGTGGCTGACTGCCATGCATTTACATTAATATTTAAGTCTATTTATGTATTATGTAAAATTGAAAGCTTTTATTTTTCCATTTTTCTTTGTGATAGAGGAAAGTAATTGTCCTATGATGTTGCCAAGTGTACCAGAGGACTGATGACTTTTTTTTTTATAATTAACTGAGATTGCTATATGTGAGAGCTATATTAATGAAGCAGAAACCCTGTGGAAAATCCATAAGGATGTCTCCTGCTAATGACCTGAAAGAATCTGTGAATCATCCTGTGAATCCATGACGTGGACAACTCTGAAAATCACTGTTTGTGTAATGATGAGCTCCATGAGATTCAGTGTGAAACTGTGCTCATAAATGCCAGTTGAATTGTTAAAGCATTGCTGTGTTTTTATGTTAATGAACTTTTTTTTTTTATAACAAAATAAACGTTTGTTACTTGAATTTGTTGCATTTGTGATTGCTTATTATTCATTATGCTCAGCAATGCTCACACACCCTATATACAAATGCACTTTACACATAGTGTACATAGTTTCCATTCCTTACACCCTAGAAAAGTTCATAATTTAAATAACATTCATTTCTGACACTACTGGTGGAATAACAATAATAATCAGTTCCAGGCTAAGAGAGATCAGAATACAAACTAGTATTCGTAATAACTAATATTTTGATTGGGTATGTATCAGTAAGTTTTTCCTGTCCATGTGTCCACACATTCTAACACATCACAATTGCTTAAAACAATGTTCACTGGCTTGTTATCTTAGGAGGACCATAAGTGCAGTAAATCACTGATTGTTTAAGCCTATACAGCAGATTTGGTGTTATGAAACCATATAAAATTATGTATACAGTAGGTTACTTCACCCTCATGTTTCCCTAGATCACAAAACCAGTCATGTACATTTTTCAAAATTGAGATGATTATTATCTGAAAGCTGAATAAGCTTCCCATTGATGTATGGTTTGTTAGGACATCAATATTTATTTGATTTAACACAATTTTCAAAATCCGGATTATCTAAATATTAATTTTATTTAATTTTCAGCTTAGTCTCTTTATAAACCCATGCGAACAATGGGAAAACATGCAAACTCCACACAGAAATGCCAACCCAGTCGGGGCTCAAACCAGCGAACTTCTTGCTGTGAGGCGATCGTGCTACCCACTGCGCCACCATGATGCTCAATATCTAAATATTGTACTGTAAATATTAAGAAGTCTCATTTAAAAAATGTCCAAATTAAGTTCTTAGCAATGCACATTAGTAAAAAAAATTAGGTTTTGATATAGTTACAGAAGGACATTTACAAAATGTCTTCATGGATCTTTTTTCTAACTTAATATTTTAATGATTTTTGGCATACAATGTATTTTTGTCTATTCTCAAAAAATGGCAACTTAAGAGCATTTTTTATGGTCCAGAGTCACATATGTTTACTAATAAGAGTTTTTTAAGGTTAAGGGACCCCAGGATATTTCCTTATAAGAAGGATTTGGGGGGAGAAAGTTTTCAAACCACAATATCTTTAGAAAATCCAATGGGTGTCAGTGTTGTTTTTAATCTTCTTACAACTAAATAAACAGAAAAGAACCTCTAAATACTAGAAAGGGGCTTAACAAGTTCTTTGTATGTCAGTGTTGCTATAGCATCCTAACCATATTAACAGTTTCTTTAACAGTGTCAAACTCAATTCCCGGAGGGCTGCAGCTCTGCACAGTTTTGCACCATCACTGATCAAACACAGCTGATCAAATCAATGAAGGTGTTCATGACTCTTTTGAACACCTCGATTAGTTGGATCAGCTATGTTTGATAGGGTTAAAGCAAATCTGGGCAGAGTTGCGGCCCTCCAGGAATTGACTTTGAGACCTCTGCTCTAAATAAAGATGACTTTACTTGAGTATATATCCTCAAAATTCACATGCTGTATTTAAAATATAATTGTAAAATTAATAGTCATTTTTTTTAATATTTATATCTAAACATTTTTATTTACACCTCAATGTCTCCAAAATACTAAAATGTACTTTTTATCTAAACCTAAACAAACATTTGAACAAAAGGTGTGAACTGCCACACAATGTTCGCTGGATGAATGAATAACACCACCTTTATTCTTCTAAACGTTTCATACCGCATGACATCATATAACATACTGTACAAGGAAATACAATTTTCAGATATTTTCACACCATTTTTTAAATGTTTTATTAGCATGTTTTCAAGAATATAATAACAAGCAATCATACATTTATAAAAAATCTATAGATATTTATTGTTAAATAGAAGCACTTTAAGATAAAATTAACTTCTATTCATTTATTGTAATTTCCTAAAATTGAAATATTTGTAGGCTAGGGTAGTCCTACAAAAACACATCTATGAAAAATATAATATGAAAGCTAATTTTTTAATACAATCAGAAGCCATATATAATAATAATAATTTCATACAATCTGTTTCTAAATAGTGATACTACACTGGACAGTACAAAAGTTTCTGTTTATTTTGTAGTCTTTAAAAAAATTATTATTATTATTAACATCACTTGCTTAGAAGAATGAGAAACATTGGTCAACAAAAGAGCCAGGGTTTGGGAATGGCAAACATTATAAAGCAATAGCAATTTTATTCGAGCGAAAAAAGAGAAAAGTAAATAAATAATACACATATTATAGATTGTTATGTACAGATAAGTATAAATAATAAATATAAAATAAACGCAGAAATAAATAACATATTACAGCTTTTTTAGTGGCTTTGGTACAATTGGTGCACCTGAAAGGAGATTGTCCTATGATCACATATTTACTTTTGTTTTTTGTTTTTGTGTGTGTGTTATGCAGTGCTGTGTTTTCCTTTATGTCACAATGACAAGATCTGGCAAAAAATTACAGCACAAACACAAAACAGCACACACAAAAAAATAAAAATAATAGTCAATTTGCCACAGAACATCCATCCTGAGTTATTTTGACAAAATGACTACCAAGTAATTTGACTGTCTTATTTATACACAGTGACTGCAGGACTTGTCATTCTGATAGCACTGATACATTCATTGACACATACATTTATTTTTGAGAGATGAACTAAGGATTTTGAGCAAGAGACTGGCTTTTGCAGGTAATCCATGCTGTTTTGCTATTTGTATGAGCTGTTTAGAGAAATGCCTTTACTTTTTCACAAATTTAAATTGTGATTTGAGAAAAGTACCAAAGCGACTGAGGAAAAACTGTAATATAAATTATGGGGCATTCTACCAGAAACGTACATTATCTGTCCCTGAAATAAAAATACAGGGAAGAAAAAGTCACAAAAATGTCTAAAATGGAGTGAGTGGCTGATTTCTGTAAGTTGTTGCTGTAAAGAATATGTCATTCATTTGGTTCTCAGATTTTTGTTTTTTATTAGAAACACATTACAAATTTACAAACCCTGTCATTGTCCTTGTCCTCAGCCCAACTGAACTTACAGTTTTTCCCAGAGAAACAGACATTTTCTGACAGAATCTGACAAATGTCTTTCGATTATTTCCTTGTATTAATAATGCCAAAAAATGCAGTTTCTGATTGTGGAGAAGGCCTACAATTCAATATTGATACCATAAAGGTTTTAACAATAAAGATTTTAATAAAATCTCCTTACCCTTCTTTACTAAAAGATATTTGTCAGGGAGAGTCCTAAAACGTTTTCAATTTTAGTCTTTTTTTATTTTTAATTTCAAGAAACTGTATAATACAACTTAGAATACAGTAAAAGACAACAGTTCTTTTACACTAATCAAATTAGATACACAAGATATAAAGCAATACCAAAACAAAATGCTTATCTAAAAAAAGTTAAAGAGAAATAAAGTGATAAAAAAAAGAAATAAATATTTAAGCAGCATAAAAGATCTCATCATATTTGCTCAAAAAAGAATCACATTTCTTATTTTCAATTAATCTAAGTGATTTAAATAAATGTTCTTTTTCACATAAGAATAAAACAAAGATTGGACTTTTTAAAAAACCTCTGTTTGTGAAAGTAAAATTTCCCAGCAAGTATTAGAAAGTTTTAATTTTAGTCTTTGAAAGTACCTTGTTGTGAAGGGAAACGTCATCGCGTTTCGTATCGTTTGTCCTTCTGCTTACACCGTAGTTGTCAATGTGGCTGTGCTGCTATCATGATGTGTACACTTCACATCAAAATACAAGTTAGTAAAAAGAAAGATTAATTATGGGAGATGAGCATCCAGTCCAGGCTAACAACACAAGCAGCTCCCGCTGTACTTTCTTCAAAGACGAATATCAATGTGTAAGTATAAACGTTTTGGAAAACTACTGGAATTCTTATTTGTTAGCCCTTATGCTAACCAAAACATGACATCATACTTTCCATGGGTGATTATATTGACCTTTATATGTTTAAATATTAAACATAAAAACAAGATATCATGGCATAATAGATGATCAGTTCAATTGGGTTTAGGGTTTAAACACTTTTTGTGGCGTGTTTATAAGATTGTTCAGTAGGAAATGAATCATTTATTGATCTGTAATGGGATGAGCTACACAACACGCGTGTGGAGCAGGAAAACACCCATTACTGTCTGGTGATTGGTTGAGAAAGAATTGAGTATGATATAAAGTACAACATTATAATGTTAAAAAAATACGTGGGAAACTAGTTTATTTAAAATGAAGGTGCTACTAAATCTGATTAAATTAAAAGCTATTTTTTGTTGTCTTTATTGATTTTAAGACACGTGCGTTATAGAGGTAAAGGTGTTTTTTTATTCGCACATTTGTTCATTTTAACGGCGTCTATATTGTTTACCACGCTACTTTGAATATTCGGTCTGAAATTGCATGTGACTTCAAAGCAAGATTAGCACACTTTAATTTACCCTCAGCAATGTTGTAATTTAACATAAATTGGCTGCTTATATGATTTTCCTTTTTAGAATTTGCATACAATATTTTTTTGAACTTGAATTGTTAAGGAGATAGTCTGAGAATGTGAAAATAAAACTTCTATTAATCTTTTATGTGAAGCTGCTTTGAATTTAGTTTTCATTAGATTCAAGTTGATTTTTTTTAATCCTCAGGATGTGATTCTTACAGTGAAAAGAGCAACAGGGACATTTTCAATTCTGGCATGGTGAGTTGTATGTTTATTCTTTGTTTTAAAGTATCTTTTGAGCATCCCTAACTAACTTTAATTCCCTTTTTGTAGTTTCTTCATGCTCTGTTTGATATGGCTGCTGCGCCGAAACAACTCTCTAGCTCAGGTAAAGCTTGTGTTGTTCATTTCAATAGTTTTAAAGATCCTACAATGTTTGCGGTCAGTCAGTTTTTTTTTTTTTTTATTATATTATACTTTTTAAAGATATAAGTAATACTTTTATGTTACTTATCATATACTGTTCTGTCATGTATCAAAATAATAAAAAGACTTTGAAGTAAATATTGTTATATTCTCTATAACCGTTTAAAATATCCTAAAACAAATCAAACAATATACAAAAAATGTCAAAGTTCCCAGATTAATGTGAAGTATCATAACAGGTTTCATCATTGATAATAATTATAATTGTGTTTTGAATGCCAAAGAAAGCTTTTGAGCTGAAAATCCAGCCTTGAAGTAGCAGGTTAAAGATAAAGTAATTATAAAACTTAAATATTAGTGTTTTAATTATACAAATAATGCCATTTTGGTGAGCAATAAGATATTTCTTTCAAAAGATTAATCAAATCTTCCTAGCAAACATTAGAATGTAATTAATTTCCTGATTACATAATTTATAATTCCGTAGATATCTAACAATTAGTCGGTTAACCATTCGTTCATATAAATTCACTATTAAAAAAAAAAAGATCTTTTCCTTTGTTTTTCAGAAAATGGTGATCAACCTGACAGTAGCTGCATTGTTTGACAGTGTTGCTTATGTTATGGTAAGTTACACTGATTTGTCTGTACAAATGTTTCCCTTATCTATAGCATCAGTTCAGTCAGGGCATTTTTTTTTCTTCTCATCTGCAGGGAGAGTCTCATCCAGAAGGATCGCTGTGTAATTTTCAAGCCTGGTGGCTGACGTATTTTGGTAAATTTGGCAACTTATTAAAAATACGTTTTTATTTGTGTATCGTCATGTACAGTAAATGCAAAGTAATAGATCTTTAACTCTATCGTGGGGTTTAAAAGCTAGAAGCTAGAAGAATACAATAAAATACTGCCCAATAGACCCTTTTCACAAGACTGTTATGATGCGTCAAACAGTCCTCAGCATCTTAAATCCTTTAAAGTTTTTAATATTTTTATAAAAAAAAAAAAAAAAAAAAAGTATGAACATTTATATGTATTTATGTATGTATTATATTATCTTTGCTTGGAATTACAAAAAGTGAATTACCGCTTGTGCGAGGGGTTTCTAATACATCGTCTATGGGACATGACAGCAAATATGATGTTATTCTCTCTTCTGGTTGCTGTCTTTAGTCTCACTCAATTTTTTTTCTGAAAGTTTTGATAAAATCATCGTGGAGTATTTCTTTAATTATTTAAGCAAATAGGATAGTAAAACAATTATTTGTTGTATTTTCATATTGACTGCAGAAAGTTACGCTCTAAGTTTACCCAACTATGATGATTTCTGCTACTGAGAAACCTGGAAGTGTGAAAAGGGTCTATTATGAAAAGGTTGTGACATTTTGTAAAATGCAGGGAAATCTACAATATGTGATTTGTTAATTGTCTTCAACATTTTTTTTTCATTGAAAAATGTACAAAGTGTTCCAGTGTTTCCACTGACGAACATAAATGTATTTTGTTAATATAAACCGTTTTTTGATTTGAATCAGCTTTGACAGTCCAAAATAAGCAGGTTAAATGGTAATAGGTTTGCATATAAAAAGAGCATTGCAAAAAAAGCTGGCTCATTATTTTGTTCCTAAAGTCACAAGACAGTGGTCAAACTTTATTTTTTTTAACAGTTTCTCTTTCAATATTTACAATATGTGAAGTCCACAAAAAAAATCTCAGTATATGAGAAGAAAGCTGTACGTCAGTTCTGTGCAGTGATGCCAGCAGGTTCTCTGGGTATCTCAGATTGGCAAAAAAAGAATGTGTGCTGGGCTTGGATTAGTCCACATTTCAGCTTGCTTTTGGAAAATAAACAGCACTTCCATTCTGAACTTGTTAATCGGCGCATGCAAAAACAGTTTGCAAAAAAAAAAAATCAGTATGGGGAACAGCAGAGCAAACCACACCACTGTTTATTTATGCATGGCACAGAGATATTTACTGCCATTAATCTTTCAAGGCAAGTATGTGGTTATTAGATGAAGACTCATTCCTCATGTTCTACATCAGCATGGTTATGTAGGCACATAATACACGTGCGTCTGTCTCGACTGTGTTGCAACCTTCCAAAATCAAATTTAATTTAACCCTTGTGTGCTGTTGGGGAATTTTTTTTCCACTCTGGGGTGATTTCGAGTCTTAATTTGGCCATAACTTTCTCTGCGTTTTAGCAAATGGAATGATTTTTGGTGACAAATCCTATTTCGAAAGGTTTTGGGAAAATACTCTGAAAAAATTGTTAAAAATTCAACAATACATTCTGGACAAATTTACTACTCTTTCGTTTTTTTCCACATTGATTTCCAACAATGACATTTGACTATTAACCCAACAAAAAGGGTTAAAGTCACAAAATACAATTTATTTGATCAGTTAAATCATTGATTGTTTTTTTTTGTATTTTCGTTAATTAAATCAGAGATAAAGGGAATTAACAAATCGCATATTCTTGATTTAATTGCAGTATAATAAATATCCCAGCTTTTTCAGAATCATGGTTGTACATAAATGTTAACCCAGGGTTTAGGATTGTTCAGTGTAAACATACAAAACACACTAGCAACTACTATAATAATTATAATTTATTACTGTTTAGCATTTTTAGTTAAATTCATCTTTATTTCTATAGTGCTTTTACAATGTAGATTGTGTCAAAGCAGATTAACATAGAAGTTTGAGTAAATTGAAACTGTGTCTGTTTGTTTCAGACTGGACTGCACTGGTTTGGGTTTGTCTTATTACTTTCAATCTCTACCTGAACCTAGTAAGAGAAATCAGGACAGAACATTATAGAATGTAAGTCAATACACTTACACACGCTGGTTTTGGTGGTTTATGAGGACTCTTTGTTAAGGTAATGTATTTTATACTGTAAAAAAATGCATATTATATGGCCTTTTCCCTACCCTAAACCCAACCCTTACAAATTAGTATGTGGAAGATTCCATTAGGTATGCTTTTAAACTATTTTGAACTGCAAGGACACAAGACATGTCCTTACAAACCACCAAAACCAGTACACACATTTATTACACATACAGCTTCTCAGTGTTCTTCACATCTACATGTGTTCTTCACATCTACATGTGTTTTTCAGACGGTATCATGTGGTGGCATGGGGTGTTCCTGTGATCATGTCCACCATCCCCCTGATGGCTGGATACTACGGTCCTGCAGGAGCCTGGTGGTAAATCAGCATTAACTATTTATTGTTATTGCAGTTCTGTTACAAAAATTTTCATCAGTGCTTTTTGTCTCATTCTTGGCCTGCAGTTGGATCACAGATGATCATGTTGGGTGGAGATTTGGCATGTAAGTAGGGTTGTAATGTTCAGCATGTGTGTGTGTGTGTGTGGAAATGTACAGTATTTTGTTCTTAGACTGATTCTCTGGTAGTGTGATGAAACTATGCTATGAGCCGCATCATATTTCAGAGGCTCACGTTGCTCATGCCATTTGAATCTCAAGAATTTCCGTTCTCATTCTGACTTGTTGCTGCGCATGCACGTTATTGTACATGCTCTAATTACATCCATTTATGGGTATTAATTCCTGTGTTAATGATCGATCACATTGGCCACATTATATGGTGACATTCGCATTATATCTTGAAACCTAAAATGCATGAAAATTGTTGGACTAGATTATAATAAAAAAAAGATACCTGTTTGGATATCTACTATATACTATGTTATTGGCTAATATTAAATTTATCAGTATTTATTGATAATAAATGTTGAATTGCTCATTTTTAGTATTTGCATTAAACTTTAGATTGCCTTTAATGTCATTAATAACACTTTTTAAAAGTTAAAAGTAGCATTTTTGAAAACACTTCAAACTTTTTAATGTTATATTCAACAAATCAAAATATAAATATATATTTTTCTTATTGTAAATGATAATGCTGTAATGTCTAAATTAACTTTTATTTTTAGTTTCTATGGTTTCTGGTGTTTTTTTTTTTTAAACCTATCTAAATAAAAAAAATTATATATTACAAAACACACTTTTTGAGAAGTAACAAAATATGACAATCATATTTATGTCTTAGTTTTCATTAAAAAATAACAACAACAATAACAACAAAAACAATGCAAAAAAAAAAAAAAAAAAGGAAGAAGATAAAATAGAAAAAAGGGGGCAGAGGTTGTTTTAATTATTACCAAAGTCCCTTTAAGTCATTTCACTTGGCGGCCATCTTTGAAACACCTCTCGGGCAGGATGCTCGGACATACTGTTTGAATAAGGAAACGTCAAATTCTCCAAAACTGCTTGCCAAGCTTATGTTTGAATTTCATATTAGGAATTACCAATAAAATTAACAACTGTCTAATTAGTTACATTTCTAAATGTCTGAATCACACATAATATGCAGAAACACATGTGTGGTCTGAGCCCCTCTCGCAGAGTATTGTCGGCCTATGTCGATCGATGCTTGGCTCCTGTACTAGAAGGCGGGAAACATTGGCCATATAGCGATCGATGATTGGCTCCTATACTTGAAGGCGGGCTTTATTCGCCATATTCCATTATGACCGTTACACTTTTTCCCCATTCAAAACGATACATGTGACATTTCTTGTATATTCAATAGTCTTTGTTATTACAGTGTGTTCGTGAGATCTTAAAATCTATTACATTTCAAAACTATATTTTAGGCTTAAAAAGTCTTAAATGCACTTAAAATTTTGTTGTAGATCTTAAATCATGTTAAACAGGTCTTAATTTTCCTCTGTCTAAGTAAAGTTACCCAATAACCAATAATCCATCTCAAAACTTAAAAAATATAAATTAGTTTTTGTTGCAAAGAGATACACAATTCACAAGAGCTATTAGACATCTTTACAGCAAATTCTCCTAATTAAATTCCTTAAGCAGGGAAAGAAAACCAAAGCAACACATCCCTATACATGATCTTCCATTAATACAAAGCTATTTACCCAAGTATTTGGGCCATTAGAAAAAGTCCTTAATGTTTAGCCCTGTATAAATCCTTAATGTTTAGCCTGTATAAGTCTAAAATTTCATTCATAATGGTCTTAAAAAGTCTTAAACTTGTCGTAAAGAAACCTGTATCAAGTGATTATTCTATATAAAACATTAGAAAGAAATTGTTAAAAATACTAATCATCCATAGAAGACATGCATGTGATCATCAGTATGACAACAGTTTATTTAAATAAATCTGTGGAAATGGGGGAATATCTAGGATAAGTCAGTGTCAGCTTATTTAAAATCCTGAAGTTTAATATTTATTTTAAACTTTGGACAAATGAAAGAACACACACATATATTATTTTGTATTATGTAATTAATTTTTAAAAGATGCATAGCACAAGCACACTATTAAGTGCACAGATTTATGCAATTAAATGTAAATCATCACATTCTTCCAGTTGAATTTGGTGCTTTGAATAAGAGATTACTACAAATAAGGAAGTTGGTCTGCATGCAAAAATCTAGCTTTTTATTTCGTGCTTTTTTCAAAATAAATGTTATTCACATCTTTATGCAAAAATATACAATTAAAAAAGACTGTTTGAGGCTTCTGTGTTTGTACTGTCGTCTTTGAGGTGTAATGTATTGTGTGTTTGCAGATGGTACATCCCATTATTCAGCCTGATTATCGTCATGATCTGCTGTTATGCTCGAATCATCTGCGTGGCCAACGAGAGGGTGAGTGGTTAAAAACTTTCCCACAATCCCTACATTTCTCAGCATGGCATTGACAACTCAAAGTCTCCCTTTAATATTTAGTTAAGTTGATGTTAAACTAAGCACTATGATGTTAAGGTTTTGTTTATCTCTTTCCTGCTCTCTGACGTGCCTCAGTGAGGCTCAGACTGCCATTCCACATTCCAGAACATTTTGCACGACTGGCAGATTCTGACACACATTCTGACGCAATAAATCTGATTGTAAATGCAACGTACGTGCAGACATTAGTGTACAGCTGTTACAGTGAAGTTTTCATATGTACACATTAAAATAATCACTGATTAAATTTGTACAGGATCAGTAATGCTCTGCTTATGACACATTACGATCTGTGCATCAGAAGCATAAATGAATGTTTGTTTTTCAGATGCGTTCGTGGTTGGGCACCTTTAATCCGGAAAGGGAGAGAAGGAAGGTAAGAGTGTGTGTGTTTGTGCATATATACAGTAAATGATGTCACTTACTGGCTGAGACGTCAGTGATGTATCTTTTCTGCTTTCTGCAGATCTCCTTAGCTGAAGAGACCAGACCGCTGAAGTGGTATCCCTCTGTCTATCTGCTTGTCTCTATCTTCCCTCTTATAAATCGGTAATTGTTTTTATACTATTCCATAAAATCATGATTAATGTGTTCAGTCATTAATATATATTTATGTGTGGATCATTATCTTGTATATATATATTTTTTTATTTGTGTGTCTTCATAATATCTTGTCAAGTTATCTTACTTGCAGATACATTCTTTACTATAATGACCTGTTTAGTGATGTAAGGGTTAGACAACCTTTCACAGATCTCAGATTTGATCACAATAAAGGCAAACATTCATTAAGTCAATTCCCAAATGCCAAAAATAAACTCTTTTTCTTCAGTTTTGTTCCTTGTTCAAAAAGTAGTTTCAATCAAATAAACATCACAATAGAGAAGGCAATCTACAACACTTATAAATGATTAATCACTGTGGAAATGACCATTTAATTTACTTCATTCAAGATGTAGAAGACTTTCTTTTTACTTCAGCTGAATATTGAAGAAGATTTTTAGCTATAACTAGTCTTTGGTGATTCATATACTGCAAGTCACAGTATGCAGACACTTTAAAAAGTAAGGAAAAAGTAATAATAAATTATATTCATTTTTATACTGGCATAACTAAATTAGTGGCCCTTTAAAATAAAATTGCTCTCTAAAAGAAAATTATTATAATGATGATGATTAATGCAACAATTATTGTTAAAATAAATGCATTTTATTATATACAGTTGAAGTCAAAGTTATTAGCCCCCTTTATTTTTTTTTCTTTTAAATATATTACAGAGCAAGGAAATTTTCACAGCATGTCTGATAATATTTTTCTTTTGGAGAAAGTATTTGTTTTTTTCCGTCTAGAATAAAATCAGTTTTACATTTTTTTTAAAAAAACCATTTTAAGGACAAAATTATTAGCCCCTTTAAGCTATTGTTTTTCGATAGTCTACAGAACAAATCATCGTTATACAATAATTACCCTAACGTGCCTAGTTAACCTAATTAACCTAGTTAAGCCTTGAATTTACCCTAAGTTAAGTGTCTTGAAAAACATCTAGTCAAATATTATTTACTGTCATCATGGCACTTAAAACTATTATGTTTAGAAATGTGTTGAAAAAAAAATCTTCTCTCATTTAAGCAGAAATTGGGGAAAAAATAAACAGGGGGCTAAAAATTCAGGGGGCTAATAATTCTGACTTTGTGTGTGTGTGTGTGTGTGTGTGTGTGTGTGTGTGTGTGTGTGTGTGTGTGTGTGTGTGTGTGTGTGTGTGTGTGTGTGTGTGTGTGTGTGTGTGTGTGTGTGTGTGTGTGTGTGTGTGTGTGTGTGTGTGTGTGTGTGTGTGTAGAAAAACAATTTTTGTTAGCTTTTTAAAAAATATTTATTTAGGTAATGATCATCTTAAACTAAATACAAATCTGAGCAGATATTCCGACTCTTATTGACGGTTGTTATATTTCTCTCTTATCTTTACTCCAATATTTAGTATATGTTTTTAAATCTAGGTTCACCTTCTAGCCAATAGCTGAACAGCACCTACTGGGTATTTTAAATTAATTTTCATTTCAGTGCATCTCTAAAAACAACACACAAAAAAAACCTTTTTTTTTCTTTGGATAAGAATATTGCGTATACTATTATCATGATAACGACACTTTTTGTGAACAATTGTTTTTAATATTTCAGTTTTTGTTTAATATATAAAGGATACAGCATATGACTATATTGTAAAACAACCCCGAATCCCCATCCCCCACCTAGGTAGACTTATTCTATAATATTAGAAGTTAAAAGATCGCTGTAAAAAACAGCAACAAGAATAATGTTAAACCAAATAAGGAGTAAACTTTAAAAAAAGTACAAATAAATAACTATCACATCATGGAATTCATAAAGTACATATAAACAGAAAAGCTGTACATTAGAAGGTAGAAGCAAAAGATTTGACAGTATCAAAAGCTATAATCCAGGACTTAAAATTTTTTGACTGAGCTCCATGTATGCGCTGTTGAAAGTTCCATACAATTAATGTCCTGCAAAGATAGGCCCCATAGATGTCCACTTATGTTATGTAGAGGGATCCAGCAGCAGACCGACATTTTCTTAGCAGCTGTGAATGCAGCTAGGACTAAGTTATTTTGTTCCATTGAGAGTGACATGTTAGAAAAATCATTTAGGAAAAATCATACTGGAGTGAGTTCTACATCTTTTCCTAACAAAAATAAAATATTATGAGCCAGCTGAGACCAAAAAGAATTAAGTGCAGGACAGTACCAATAATAACGAAAATAAGTGCCAACTGCCCTCTGTAAACATAAACTACAATCTGGGGAAGATGATAAAGGCTTATAAAATCATTTTAAAAGGGATAACTAGAGTCTATACAATAGTTTCCAATGTATCATTTGATGATTTAGTCAGAAGAGAAAATTTTATATCTCCACTGATATCCTTAGACCAATCAGTAGTAATGAATAGTGATTTGTTGGATATTTTAAGAAGAGGGGCATACATAAATGAAGCAAGGCAACAGATGCAATATGATAACAAATATTGTTCTGTACATTGTGCGACCCTAATCTGTATGTATATTTCTGCAGACTTCATAATGCTGCTTACCCAAAGGATCCAGTGTTTTCTCTGACGTTACTGCATGTGCTTAGTGCACCGTTGCATGGGCTTGCGAATGCTCTCGTCTTCGGTAAAGACACCTGGAGTCAAATGAGTGTAACAGGAATAAAGGTAGGGCTCACTTTTACTACTTTTAACCAATGGCTGTGATTGCTCACCTTACATATCATGGTTACTGGGCTATCAGAACATCTGCACTACCTGATTTTAATCTGTTGTTCATGTAACATGTTTATTTGCTCAGATGGCGATTCAGTCTCGGTTGTGTGACAGCACAAGGATTGAAGAGTACCATGCTGTAAATGTAAGATACACACATGAGCTCGATGCGAACTCCGATTCAGACGAGGAAGACGGCAATGTCCTCTTCTACAGTCCGGATATGGCCTTAAAAGACAGGGCATCATGGGAGAATGTTTAGAGAAGTGGCTTATTTGTGCATATTTTCACACACTCCACCTTTGAAGAATTTCATTCAGTGTTTGTTTATCAAGCTTTTGTATTGACACTTTTTACTATAGTTGGAAAACAGAAAAAAGTTGTTGATTAAAAAGACTTTTTTTGCCTTTAATGACGGGTAGCATCATAGCATTTGTACTGTATTAATGAGGCAAAGCAATTTAAGCTGTTTACTGCCTTAACGTGTTCCGTTGTGTATAAAATCGAATCAAAGACTGCTTTTTCTATTTCATTCAGCTGAATATCTCAGACTTAGGATATGCTTTGAGAACAATGAGCATGTTTTATTATCATATTTATGAAAATGTATGCTATATTTTTGTATTGTTTGCAACAAAGTTTATATATAAATCTATTAACATTTATACTGTGTTTGTGTCATGTTGTATAATAGAATGAGGTATTGACTTCAGTTAATCAGCTAATTAACATTAAGTAAATTAGATATAATCCTCTTAGATGTTAAATCAGGATGATTTACGAGAAAGCCTGAGTAAGAACTGCTTTACAAAAGGGTTGTGAAAGCTTCTCGAAATAAACCAGTGACATAAACTTACATTGTCTGTGTTGTGTAAATTAGAATTACGAAACCGCTGTATGCAATGCTGACACCGAGTGGACAGATGTGTGAATAATTTGTCAGGAGAGAATGTTTTATACTTCTTTAGTTTTATTTTATACAAACCATGTATTTACGAAAGAGTATTCAACTGATAAAGTGTTCAACTGAGTGAAACTAGTACAAAAAGTAAAGTATATCACGTTGATGTCCTTTCCTGATTAGCTTTGTTATGTCGTCGTGTCAGCTGGCACGTTTAATGCCGATTGGTCAACAGCTCATCATAACTGACGATCAACCAATCCGTGAGAAGTGCGTTGTAATGATGAGAAACGCAACAATGACGATACGTAACAGATTTTCATAACAGCCGCTGGGCACGCATATACTTGAAGAGGCAGGGCGCTTCCGCAACAGCAACAACCCCTGAACGCGTTTCAAGAAAAACTGCTGAGAAAGTAACGGATACAGTAAAAATTGTACTTTCTCTTCACCATGGTATGACTTTTGATAAAAGGTAAGTCTTCTTTGTTTTGTTGTAAATCTTTACCAGGAAAACAACAAAAGATTCAAAAGATTTACTTCCTGTTTACGAAGCATATAACGTTACTGTACAAATGTTAAGTTTTAGTATGGTAAACATTTCTTTTTTGTTGTAAATGTTGCATTACAGGTACAGCGCTATATCATTTATGTGTATTTCTACCAGCTTACGCTTCGATACTTTTACATTTCGAAAGTATAGCATGATCTGAAACCATCATGAAAGCTTTCGTATAAAGTAAAATACAGCTGCAGAGACGATACAATGAGGTGTTATTTGTGTTTTGTATAGCTTATCAATGTGTTGACTTAACATTACTTAATAGCACTGTAATGTTTCTTCTACAGCCAGTATCTATGTGGTGCGCAAGATCAGCTCTGCCCTAAAAGAGGGGGAGCAGAAAGAAGAGCCTGTGCTCACACCATGTAGTCTGGCTAAAGGTGAGTTTTGTTCACATTCAGACAAACCATACATTGGATTACCATTATTGTTATGTACGTTTTGCACTGTTTTAAGGGCATACTGTAGAACCAGATTGTTGCCCAAAATATTTACTATAAATAAGTAGATACTTGTCAAAGTCAGTTTGGAGTACGTCATCACACTTTAAATATATTACATTATAAAAATACAAAGTAAAATCTAATTATTTAGTAGTTATAAATTTTTAATAGTAACTATCAATTTACAGTAAAAGAACAGAAACATACATTAAAATTGTAAATTTATTGATGTTTATATATAAACTTTTTTTAGGAGGATCACATGCTTATGATTGACCACAGCCGGTCCCGCAATAGCTAATACATGATCTTCCTATCAGATTACCCCTAAGGCTCTATAAATAACCACAGTCTTCATTCCACAACCATCTTTAACTACAAGAAACTCCCCTTCCTCCACTTCTTCCCCATTTACTTAGATTTGGCGGCAAGGCGGCCCAGTAGTTAGCACTATTGCCCCACAGCTAGAACACCACTGGCACTGGTCTTCGTCGGGCTGGGTGATGCTTCTGTGCGGAGTTTGCATGTTCTTTCCGTGTCCACATGGGTTTCCCTTGTGTTTCCTCCCACCGTCTACAAAAATGCGTCATACGTTAACTTAATAAACCGAATGGGCACCATAGTCTAGGTCCCAGCGTCAGTAAATTTCCTTCTTAAAGCAGTTCACCTTTAGTCACATCAGCAGTGCGGAGTTTTTGAGGTCTACCTGAGCTCAAACTCCCCTCCCGCCCTGCGAACGGGAGAGAGCCCTGTGCTCGAGGATCCGTTGAGCTCAGGGCTCTCTCCTGGGACAGCATGCCAAACAAGCTTATTATAAATAATCAGCCAAGTGTGAACACCTGAATTGTAGTATAAATCATAAGAAAAAAAATCTGTTTGCACATAGAAGCTTTTGATGATGCCAGGGAGGATGGTGGATGGATGTGTTTACATACTTGGAGGGCAAAAAAAGAATGTCATGCTTAATAATGTTTCCATATTTCAGCATTATGAAAAGCAGTAGAATGAAAGTATCAGGGTTTAGTCACTCAATACTCCTATCTGAATGAGACAAAGTACACCAGAGTTCATGAATGTTCATTTCACAATGTACACATAGCATGTTTTAAACTAAAGCCTGACTTGTGTTTCCAGGTAAGAAGGAGCGCAATGCATCAGCTGCTGCATTAATGGAAGCTCCAGAGCCTGAAGGTGCTGCTGGGTCATCTGCTCCGACAGAGACAGCTGTACAGAAATGTGGTTCATGAAGTTAAAGGTCACGCAGAAACAAATCTGAGCACAATAGTGGCCTCCCCACTAAATAAACAGCATCACTAGACAATAGCATATATTGTGTTTTAGATGCTGGTGCTCCAACAAGACCATCTAAGTTTGTTTTGTCTCAGAGATTCTGCAGTAACAATTATATGACAACAGACCAGATTTTCTCTGCGTGACCTTTTATTTTTTATGTGCCGACTCTTATTACTTTATTCTTTTTTCATCTTTTTTCCATTAGCTGTAGTTTGTGAAGGTCTGGTCATCAACCTCTGCCTCAGGGGCGGTTCAGATCTGATGTTTATCTGCAGCTTTTGTGTTTATACTCATCAACTAACTGATTGTACAATGAGTAAAAACCAATTGTTAAATCTGACATTATTTATAAGATCATGTTTGTTATGGCAAAAATAAAAAGGTGAAACTTTGGTTCTACTTTAATCTACTTTGTCTTTGTATTACACAACTCATCAACATGAGGTTACCATTACAAAAGAAAATCCAGTATATTTTGACAGGGTTACTATAGAACAGTGGTTCCCAAAGTGGGAGTCGGGACTACCCGGGGGGGGGGGTCGCTTGGCTTTTTACAAAATAGTTAATAATAATAAAATGCTTATAATAATCATAAAAAATATCTTGGAAATAAAAAGCAATCAGCCTTTCAACTATTTTTTGCAACCCCTGCGGTTATATTAAAGACACAGCAATAGCGTCAGATGCAGCACATTGATTTGATGGCACCAACTTTCTGGTGACTTTACGACACTCATATGCAATAAAAATAAATAGAGGCCACAACTGAACATGGAGGATGGTCTCTGAGTGGCATTCTTCAAAATTAAATGATTAATAGACTTGGGCATATTGGTATATGTGTGCCGTTTTTATATTGGGGTCGTGGGCTGAAAAGTTTGGAACCCCTGCTATAGAAAGTCCTTTTCTCTGATCAGTTACAAACACTTGTTTTATACATATGACATCATCACAACGGTCAACAATAAAATATCTTCCTGTGTCTCGCAAGCTGAAAAGCAGTCAAGATGAGGGCTTTCAGATCATGTAGAACTAGGGAGGTGTACCTAATAAAGTGGCTGGTGAGTTTACATGTACTCCATTTTGTGTTTTACACCAATAAACCTGATTCAGAAAAGAAGCTGGGTTTAGATAAATACTGATTGTGTCCAGGTGATGATCACACAGCATAGCAGGACAAACATTTGCAGAAAAACCAATGACGATTTTGTTTGTTCTTTTAATAGCGCTTTAAACAAATTGTCAATAAAACATTTAGTTTGTAGTTATAAATTGCTCAAAAGCTTGTCCATTTATCTAAAAAAAGTATGAGAAAGCAAATACAAAGCCAGTGATACCTTTATATTTGCTTTCCCATGTAGCTACTACGCTTTTACTATAATAAAAGCATGGTTAATTTTTGACAGGGGTTGTATCTTGTTATATATCAGAACTGCTATTTTCTGCTTAATACCCTTGTGTATTCTGGGGTGGACTTAGTGATTTGGGGGCCCTAAGCAATTTCAGGTATGGGGCCCTATAGCATTAAAACTCTTAACCCTCTCTTTCTCAATCGATTTTATTTTTCTGTAGATAAATGTTTTTGTTTGTTTTTTGTTTCTTTTGTAATTAAACTGCTTGTTAAAAATACATTTTGAGTGGAACCTTTATTTTCTTAATGTAAAATTAAATTAAAATTAGGTAAAATTCCACTATTCATGGGGCCCCAGGTTTTAAAAACATGTAATAACATAAAATCTTAATGGTTATAGTTAGTTATTAATAAAGGGACTTAGCCGACAAGAAAATGAATGAATGAACAGTCTTAAAACTGGCAGTTCAAGAGCACCCATAGACATCTTAAGTATTCACAAAACACATTTCTTGTAAAATAGGTGTTTATATCTGCATGTAGCCTAAAACAATAGTCACTAAATATCCCTCAAAACACTGAAAATCTATAATTTTTGAAATAAATTAGATGTAATTTAAATACATTCATAAATTTGACTCACTGAAGCATGTCTTACCAAACTTCTACGAAAAAAAAGTTGACCCCCTATCGCCAATGTATAGTTCACACACTGGACAGATTTAAAACATATAATGGTAAATTCATAAGAAAGCTTTATGATTAATATAGGCTTCTTGGCATTGGTCGAGGCCCACTAATTCACAGGGGCTTTAAGTGACTGCTTACCTTGCTTATTGGTTAAGTCCACCCCTGTGTGCACTAACAAATGCTCTACTGACTCTGGTGTAAAATGTAAAAGCAGAATATAGTCCAAACCAGACCTGAGCCCCACTGAAAACCTTCAGGGTGAATTGAATTGCTGACTGTGAGTTTGTGTCAGTGCCTTATTTCATGCCTCTATGGGACCAAATCCCCACGGCCGTTCTCCTACACATGTAACGTAAAGGAAAGTTTTTACTGAGAGAAAGCATTTTCAAAGGGACAACCCTGTATATTATTAAATTAATCAAAGACATGTTAGTGCGGTGTTAATACAAGGGCATCATCATCATCATACATAGCATTTAACGTTAATTTCGAGGAAAAAACGAGCTCACACTAAATATCGAACTAAAACATGTTGTCCGTATCACTAGATGGCGCCAAATACATTTGTGATTTTTCTAAAGAAGAAGAGCACCCGACTTCCTGTCAGTGGCGGAAGTTTTTAACCGAGAAGTATAATCCCAATATTCATGTGCTTGTTTTTCAGTTCATCAGCTGAATCTCCTCATATACCATGTTCTACAGATTAAACTAACTCTGGGAGTTAAAAATGTAGGTGTGCTATGGAATAACTGGAGCCAGATGAACGTGTAAAAAGCCATTGCATTTAGCTATAGCTGAGTTACGTTCACTTTTATTGTGCATGTGTGTAAATATTGCTCTCTACGCTGATGATATCTGTAAACAAGTGCAGTTGTCTGGTTATCAGTTGATATTATAGTCATCTCTGATGTTTTATTTTCTTTTTCTTCTTTAGCTGATCCGAAAGAAGGCGTGGGGTATTTTTCTGCAGAATGCCAGATGAAAGAAAACATAACAGTACTTTGTCTGACTCCAGTAATATTACGCCGGAGCGGAGGAGAGCTCTGATCCTCTCACCGGAGATCAAACGTGACAGCCGTCAGGTATGGCCATGCATTAAGCAATATAGTGGTGTTTACAGTGCTATACAGTCGAGCTGTTCGATATTGGAAAATGTAACATTGTGGCATGTATATATATATATATATATATATATATATATATATATATATATATATATATATATATATATATATATATATCACCAGATGACTTAATATCTCTATTTGGAAAGAATTTATAATGTTAGCTCAATATGGATGATTCTGCAGTGGGAGTGCTTCTCCATAAAATTTAATAAACAACATATATAACATCTCTAACATTTTGGGGTCCCACGACACATTTTCGTTGTTGTTTGTGCTACTTGCAGTGCGTTTCTGTATTTGCATGTGTTGTATTTCATGCACATATTCAGTCAAAGATTGGGGAATTTGCATCTAAAAAAAAAATCTACTAAACAATGTCTAAACTTTTTGCGGTCCCCTGCTACATCTTCACTGTGGTCTGTGCTATATGCATTGCATTTCTGTATTTGCATGTTATTAATATTTTCATGCATAACAATCTATAAATATAATCAAGAAAAAATATGCAATTGAAATAAAGTGTTTTATCATTTCCAGAATCTAACAGTATTCAAGTACAGTAACTGAAAAATCAAAATTTTAATTATTTAATTAAATGAATAATATTTAAGGTCACAAATCATACATTTTCTTATCCCTGAATGTGTGTGTTTTTTTTTAAAGCATTCTGCAATCGCAGGCATCAAAAACACATGCAACAGATCAATTATGATACAAACTCAACATTGCATATTCTGCAATATAACTATTGCGAGTGATCACATTGTGAAATCAATGCTGAAATGATATTTTGTGCAGCCCTACTATACAGTATATTCATATTTGTGACCCAGGACCTCAAAACCAGTCATAGGCGTCTTTTGTTGGAAATTAAGATAAATGCATCATAAGAAAGTTAAATAAATAAGCTTGCATGTATAATTCAGTTAGACAAAGACAATATATACTGAGATACAACCATTTAAAATTCTGGATTCTGAGGGTTCAATAATTCTAAATAGTTTGAAAATCTAAAAAAGGCTTTAAAAATCCTTTAAGTTTTACAAATTAGGTTCTTAGCATTCACATTACCAATTTAAAACATTGAGTTTTAATATATTTACAGTAGAACATTTACAAAATATCTTAATGGAACATGATTTTTCAATTTCTAAACATTTTTGGCATAAAAAGAAAAAAGATCATTGATATACAGTTGAAGTCAGAATTATTAGCCCCCCTGTTTATTTGTTTCCCCAATTTCTGTTTAACAGAGAGAAGATTTTTTTTCAACACATTTCTAAACATAATTGTGTTAATAACTCATTTCTAATAACTGATTTATTTTATCTTTGCCATGAAGACAGTAAATAATATTTGACTATATATTCTTCGAGACACTTCTATACAGCTTAAAGTGACATTTAAAAGCTTAACTAGGTTAATTAGGTTAACTAGGCATGTTAGGGTAATTAGGCAAGTCGTTGTGTAACGATGGTTTGTTCTGTAGACTATCAAAAAAATATAGCTTAGAGGGGCTAATAATTTTGACCTTAAAATGTTTTTAAAATTTTAATTTTTAAAACTGCTTTTATTCTAGCTGAAATAAAATAAATAAGACTTCCTCCAGAAGAAAAAATATTATCAGACATAATATTGAAAATGAAAATGTCCTTGCTCTGTTAAATATCATTTGGGAAATATAAAAAAATGAAATAGAAATTCAAATGGGGTTTAATAGTTCTGGTTTCAACTGTAACTCTGCAAATTTGTGGTTCTGGGAAACATATGTGAAAACCATCTTTCTATGTGTCCCAGACTGAATGCCCTTATAAGATTGCCAGGAGAGGTTCTGCAGCCGAGGATGAGTGTGTGGAGACAGAGATGTCTAAAGATCGGAAAAGCAACAATAAGGTGACTATGTGATGTTCATATCATGCATCATTTCTTGTATATGTCTTGTATATTGTCTTGTTCTAATAAGAACTACACTTGAAACATTCGGAAATCTAGTTATAAGCGAAAAATCTTATAACTAGAATTAATTTGTCACATTTATTTTTATAAAATGTGGGCTGTGATTATTTAATAAAATACAAAATGTAATGGTATGTATATTTGCATAGCATATTTATTGTGTATCATTGTATGGTGGAGGATTATATGGGCTGATGGAGGGTTATGACCTTGCTTCAATGTCATCTAAAAGATGGTGCTCACTGACAGTATAGTATCACCATCACTATACTGGAGCAGTAGAACCTACACAGAGTGCAGGTAGAGCATCCCCTGCTGGCTTCTCTAACACCACTTCCAACAGCAACCTAGTTTTCCTATGTGGTCTCCCATCCAGGTACTAGACTGGCAACCATTGTTGGGCTGCAGGCTTGTTTGATCACTCTTCATGCCAGATAAAAAAGATCTAGTCCCAGAAACAAGATTTTGTCAGAAAATGTCTTTTTTTTTTTGCTATTTAGACAAGTAAGCAGAGCTGCCCAATACCCAAACCTGTTAACCACTATTCAACTGAATAAGTCTTCTATCAATATAGCAGTTGACTGAGAAAGTAAGAGAGGAGCAGAAGCAGGAGACGAAGTAATGATGATAAAGAAAGAGCAGAGTATTTGAACAATCTTAGTTGCTTATGATAAATCCAGCAGGTGTTATTATACCACAAGCAACACCAATGGAAATTACTGTTTCACAACATTGTCCAGAGACAATACAGACCTTCAATTGGAGACATTCTCTTATCTCTGAAACTCTCTTATTCTCTTAACTTTGAAAACAAGAGTCGCTTGAATCCACACAGCCATAAGATTATAACAATATGGGAAAAATAAAAGAATAATGAAACAATAATTATAGGAGAATAATAATAATAAAATTTAAAAACAAAATAATTCATTAACTTATGATCTATAAAATGATATAATCCTAACTATATAAATGACGAATGATCATATGATTAAATAAAACAATTAAATGAAGAATAAATGAATATAAACAAGTGAAAATAAAACAACACAAATGGTTGCTTTCTTGAAGCAACACACATAAGCTTGCTACAAGGATTCTCAGATCCTTAGTTAGATTCTTTAGGGTGATATGGCTGTGAACATGTGTTCAATGAAAAAATATGCTTATCATAATGACAGTTCTTTAACACCAGTTTCTATAGTTCATCAACTTAAGTGGATAGTTAAATGAAGAGTTCACCCAAAAAGTTTATAGTTAACTCACCTTTTTCTTGTTTCAAACCTTTATGATTTTATTTGTTAGAAACACAAAAGAAGATATTTTGAAAAATGCTGAAGACCTATAACCATTGACTTTCATAGTAGTTGCTTTTCCTACTATGAAATCAGTGGTTACAGTTGTCCAGCATTCTTTGAAATATTATATTTTGTGTTTAACGCAAGAAAGAATCTCATAAAAGTTTGAAACCACTTGAGGGTTGAGTAAATAGTGAGTACATTTTTATTTTTGGTTGAACTATTTAACCAAACTACTAAAGATCTATTTCTGTTATTATTTACTCACTCTCCACTTGTTCCAAATGATATTATTTTTTCTTCTGTTAAACACAAAGTTATATTAAATACTGGAAGCCATTAGTTACTGACTTTCATAGTGTTTGTTTTTCCCACTCTGGATGTCTTGCTGTTGGTTTCCAGCATTCTTCAAAATATCTTCTTTTGTGTTCAGCAGTGGAAATAAACTTATAAATATTTGGAATCAGTTGATTGTGTGTAAAAGGTAAGTAAGGCAATCTCTTTAAATATATGATCACCACACATTTAGTTAATTTGCGATTTTCCCCTTCATCTAGCACCTGAGATCTCTTAATGTTTTGGTAGTTTCTGAATGGCTTTATTTTCATTTTGTTAGATCCACTGGACACAGCTGGCCTCAAATGGTACATCCTCCCAGTTATCTCCCAAATCAACAAAAAAGAGCAATCAAGAACTTACAATATTGCAGAAAATCCACAGGTAAAGCGATTGCACAATAATGGATTGATTCTACATGCACTGGCTGCTCTTCATCACTCACAGTAAACATTAGTCATGTAGTTGTGTGAACATATTATTGCACAGATTCACTAAACAGGTCATGTTTTTATGAGACTTCAGTGCTTCTCACTCATAGAATTTACTGGAGCCGGCCAGTTACATTAACTGCTGCCCAGTTATTTAATGGCCACCCAAGTATATTTATTGACACATTTTTACTATTATTAACATCCTTTTACACTTTTGTATCCATCCAATATAACCAAATTTCCACAATCGAGTGTCACTTCCTTTGCAGACCCACAGAGATGCGCCTTTTTGGGACTTAAAAAGTTCATCCGGCCCGGGTTTATAAATCTTCTAAAATGTCTAGGATTGAACTTTTGCTTTTGCTTTCTAAAGCTTGAATGCTATTTTGCATTACTTTTTGTTTATTAAAGACTACTTTTCATTTGCTTTACAACTGACAGCGCGCACAGCCGCAAAACCAAGAGAAAAACTAAATATTAGATTCCTTAATCTAAACGATTTTGAAAAACTTTACTATATTCTCGGAGAGGATGAAATGATGTTTAAATTGGCTGCAAAATATACACCATTAGTGGTTAATCAACACATTTGCCTTATTTAAAAAATCAACAAGTTTTATTCTTGTACTTATGATACTTTTTAGAGATATTGTCTGTCATTTATTTTTCGTTTGCAGATTGTTTTATTAATTTTATAATATTAAAATATTACATAGACTTTTTTACTTTAACCCATTGAAAGGAAACAGTGTATAACAGTGTCATAATAAATAAAATCATTGTTAAATATTAAATGATGTTTTGTTTGTCGCGTATAGTTAAATATTTATGTGATGTGGGAAAATGGTGTGTTTCAATCCGGCTACCACCGCAGTTGTATTTCAAACCTTTGGGAAGCACTGGACTGTAATTGGCACTGATTAGAGTGGAGTGTTCTGCAGGGTGATTCTACTGACACTACATGCAAATGAAATAACACAGGCTATAAAATAACATTGAATATTGGTGTCAATACCATTAATCTGACTATTGCAAATCCTAGTAAATCATATTATATATTGTATCTTTTCAAAAGTGAGTTTAAATGAGTTTAAATGAGTTAAACTTAGATTTTTCACTAAAGGAGGGTTTTTATTGGCACAATCTGTAAATGATATTAGCTCTTTTGTAAAGTACTGTGTTGTTTTATTTCATTTTCTGAATTGTATCATTTTAAACCATACAGTTGTTTAACCACTTACTGTCAAGTACATATGTCTTATTTTATTTAATCTGTCATCATTGCAATTTTTGAGAAAAAATGCAAAAGTGTTTAACTGAATATTTTACACCTGTTTCCTGACAGAGGAAGTGATGCACTGAGCACACTGCATACTTATGTGTATTTGGAAATTTTGTCAGTTGTTATTTAGGGTACGCTTGGCCAGTACTGACAGAACTGAGATGGTTGGTCATATTTGAATTTAGCAACTCCTATGAAGATTGTGTTGTCCTATAATTTTAGGCTTTGTGGATGAAGTGAATACTACTGAGTTTGTCTTTTGGCCTGTTTATTCTACTTAAATTATCTGGGTGTATTGGGGCGGGAGTTTGCCTCATAAATGTTAGAATATATATACTCACATAGTTCAACTTGGGAAATCCTGTTTTGCACGATATGGTGCATATCTACACTCTACAAATAAACACTTGCTTATCATTTATGCACCATCTGTGCATGTTGACGCTCCTTGTTGCATATGCACGCTGCAAATGTGTTAACACTGCAAATGAGTCATTAGTTAACAAGCCAGTAAATAGCTGTGCAGCATTTACATAATTTGTCTATACTGTGTCTGTAGTGCTACAGTGTTTTAGGTAAATATAAGGGAAATATAATTGTTTGACATTTTCTCATTTGTTTTTACTTGGCAGAAGTGTTTGAGTAACAGCAGTATGATAAGTATGCTACCATGAACCACAAAACCAGGGTTAATATTTGAAATTGAGATTAATATGTCATCTGAAAGCTCAGTAAATAAGCTTTTCTTTTTATTTATGGTTGCTAGGATAGGATATAATTTACATTTATTTTTCAAATTAAAAGGTTAGAAAACCATATTACTAATTTAAATTAGGTTTTGATATATTGATGGTAGAAAATATAAAAAATATCTTGATGAACATGATCTTTACTTGATATTTCAATGAATTTTGTATTATTAAAGAAAAAACTATAATTTTAACCAATCCAATTGGCTACTGCTAAAAATATACCCTTGCAACATGTATATTTAACATGCATTTATTTTATTTATTTATTTACTTCCTACAGGAATCAAGTCAAGGTGGTATTAGAAGATGTCCTTCTTACAGAGCTCGGGCAGAGCTTGCTAAGGTGTAGCGGGCATACTTTCCAAAAGACAAACCAATCAGAAAGCAAAAAACGCAGCGATCAAACCTCAACACCCACACTAAAAAACAAGACAAGAACCAGTCTAACGAAAAGAGGAGAAACAAACTCTACTGAACCAAAAGCTACGTCACCATTCCATAATAACATTGAGTCAAAATCCAAATCACTGAACTCATCACAGAAACTCTTGGAGTCATCTGAACTATCAAGTAATTCTCGTTCACCCAGAGAAAGTGAATCACCACAGGCAGCTCTGATTAGTAAAGAGTCGCCTATACAGACCAGCTCATCTTCCTTTGAAGAGAATGAAGTCACACTTATTGAAGGATCTCTGCAGAATGAGGAAGTGCTTTCCGCTGTATGTGAATCTGTAATCAGCTCTTCGTCACCGGTAGAAACACGCCGACGCCCAAGAGAAAAAAAAGCAGATAGTGAAGTAAGATCTGTATGCACTTTTAAAAACACTCAACATTTCTTTTTTGTAGTAGTACGCATAAGCCAGAGCTTAATTTGTTTCTGCTGCCCCTTATCATAATGGCAAGCTAATAAATGATTGAATTTAAAGGGATAGTCACCCAAAAGTTAAAATGTACTTATCCTCAAGCTATCCTTTTTTTCTGCTAAACACAAAAGAAAATATTTTGAAGAAGGCTGAAAACCTGCAACCACTGACAGTCATAGGAGCAAAACAAAACAAAAAAAATTGTTATGGAAGTCATTGGTTACATGTTTCTAGCTTTCTTAAACATATTTCAACAAAAGAAAAAACCCCATAAAGGAGTATAATGAGTAAAGGGTGAGTAAATGAGGACAGACCTCTTTCACTACAGTATTTCAGCTTTTAATGGCTCTAATTTAAAAGACCAGTTGTGCAGATGTAGTGTATCAATATATTAAAGATAGGTGACAGAAGGATATTTGTAATGTTACAAATGTTTTTTTTTTTTTTTTGTCAAAGATTGTTCCTTAAGATATCATAAAAAATCCATTGGTTTACATATACACTAGGCAGCACAACTGTATTACTTCTATGATGGTAAGCAAAAAATTAACAGTTTAGTATTACCATTTTTTAATCCATTCAGCTCATGTCTGTGTCCGCAGTGCCTGACTTCCATCAATACAGTGGTCCCTCCTTATTCCTAATTACATTCTAAATATAACCTGCAATAGGTGAAATTCGCAAAGTAGTCAGCTTTATTTGCTATATTTGCTATTAATATATATGTTTTAAGGTGTAAAACCCCTCACTACACACTTTATACACTTTTCTCAGAGAGACATTAACATTTTCACACTTGTCTTTTGTTTAAATGCTGTCTAAGTTCAAATCTTAAAAAAAAAAAATTAGGAATAAGTCAAGTATTATGGAATGAAACCAAAGATCAAAACCATTTGATGCTCATATATTTATTCCATAATGGTGCTCTACAGCTGCACAACTTCTGGACATGCTAAATGAAGGTAGAAGTTCAACTTATTGTCTTCCTCTGCCTTTTGGGTGCAACTGCTGGTGCCTTTCGTGGTGCAGAATGTTTCGTCGATATTGTGGGGACAAAACTTGCAAACAGCACTTCAGAGTCACACTGCTAGCGATCAAAGATTTATGTAAATTAAATGCAATGTGTACTGGACAGGAGACACGGCACGGAGGAGATTGATTGATAGTGCTCTACAGCCAGTCAGGAGGCAGAACTCAATGCACTAATCAGGATGCAGAACACAATGCACTGTAGAAAAAAAGCATTTCAAATTGCATGAAAAATTGTGAAAAATGCGGAGCCGCGAGGATCCAATCAGGGGGATATTTTCAGGTGCTTCATAATATCATTGTTTCCACTGCAGCCATGGTACAGCAGCGTAGGTCCTTGATAATTATGCCAGAATGAGAGTATAGTTTTTAGCCACACTGGCCTAGAACCGTGTTTCCCAACCCTGTTCCTGGAGGCACACCAACAGTAGATATGTTTGATCTCTCCCTTATCTGACCCATTAAATTCAGATTTTGGAGCCTCTTATGTTCTTGTGAGTTGCTTCAAGCTATTTTCAAAGTATACCGTGGTTTGGAAAAGTCAGGGTTTTAAAACCGCAAAAATATTCTGCTTTACCGTTCCTAAGATATGTGTCAGATTTTTTAGGAAAACAGTATCTCCAGCAGAAAAGATATTCAAAAATGCTGTTTTAAACTGTAAAAGAAATCAGTCTTTTAGAAACTAATGAAGACAGCGGAAGTTAATGACTCATTTGAACTATTTAGGCTGACATGTTTACCACTTCAAAATATTTGAAATGGTTCTCAAAATAAAATGTTTTCTTCAGAAGGGGAAAAAGTTTTTAGTTTTTTTACCCAAACATTTAAAGGGCATATATTTTATAGCAGTAATTACAATACCATGAAACTGTGATATTTTTATGAAAGGTTATCATACTATAAGAATCATATACCGGTCCATGCCTTGTTGATTCATGGGTGTTTGATGAGGAAGAGGATGTGTACTGTTGGTTTGCTTTCAGGGACAGGGTTGTGAAACACGGTAGCAAATTTTCACATTTTCAAACAAATAGCAACTTTTCATTTCCATCTGTCTTAGTACACAATGTAACTACAAAAGAGTCCTAAATATGCTTTAAATTGTAAAATTATCGAAAGTCTTTGGTCATTTGGTAATAGAGCAAGATGCCAATGTCCTAATCCAATTCAATGATCTGTGCTAATCTACGCTAAAAGTGCTCCTGCCAGATCTGGAGATCGACTAATTTAATAAAAAAATGATTAAACTCACTTCAAACTGTATAGGAGTTTGTAAAATGAGCCTATTTTTATATAAAGTGTTCCATTAAAGAACTGATAAAAACTTTTATTAATCAATAAAATATATTAATTTTGCTGGTTTATGAAAACAAAATAAAAATATCCCTCTAGAACCTCCATAAGTGCTCCATTAATTATGATTTACATGAAAACATTACTATACTTTTATTGGACTATTTTATAGTTATATCTTTACTATGTCTTTCTACTTTGTTATACTGCTTTACTTTTGATTTTACAGCTTTTGTCCAATAAGAAAGAAAGGAGAGAATCACAAGAGAGCCCAAAGGATGCTGCAAAACATGAAGAAAATCACTTGTGTAGTAATGGAGAGCTGGTGCAGGAAGTGGAAGGGATGAGAGGAAGTGTGTTACGCCTCTCGGCAGGGACTGATTTTCAAATCCCAGTTAAAAGATGTCGCTTGGACAGCCTCTCAGAAGACCAGCTCCTGAACTCAGACCTCGCCTTTGACACTGCTGAGATACGGAGTTTCACCTTGGAGTCCTCTAATTTCAGCCAGGATGAAACTAGTAAGGGCTCACATTATTCAGCAATCATTTTTACTGATTGTTTAATTATTTTATTGTTAAGATTATTTTATGTTAAGGAAGGAATTCTAAGGGAATCATTTCTCTAATAATATTGCGCCGTCCTTTCAAGGATGGGTGTTTGTCATTGATCCAGTTTATCGGTATATTTTTATGGCAGCAAAGGCTAAAATGTCAAATAAACAATTAATTTATTTGTCAGGCAAACGTCCAACAGGGAGACCTAAAATCAAAGACAGTAGTTTCAACTGTAGCTGAGGTCCAAACAAATTGCTCATAAAAACATTTGACTAATTAGCTCTGACAGGACAATTCCCAGTACAGCATTTTAATTATTGCACAACATTGTGTGAAATATTAATAATTAGGGTTCATACAGTCGTGGAAAATCTGGAAGTCATGGAATTTTGACATGGCATTTTCCAGGCCTGGAAAAGTTTTGGAAGATCAGAAAAACCCACAAAGTTTTGGAAAAGTCATGGAAAACAGATATCTGTATACTTGAATATAAGTTATTTACTTATTTTCTGCCCTTGGCTAATCACATACTCTCACATTATTAGTGTAGTATAAGCATTATCTAAATCAATTTTACATAGATATAAATATACTAAATAGATTGCTGTGTGTTTTACGACATGCTGTAATAAATTTGAACATGCATTGTTTTTTTTTTTTTTGTTTACAATAAAAAAAATTTCATGAAAATTTACTTGAAAGTCTTGGAAAAAGCATGAAAAAACTCATGGAATTTTCATAGTAAAAATGTGTATTAACCCTGAATAATAATTATAAGACATTTTATTCTTGGCTTTTGGATGATCAGGTGACACTAAAGTTATTGCCAAAGGAATACATTACTTTTTAACATGTTAAAATAGAAGTTTACTAATATACAACAAATAAACTGTTAAAAGCAAACTGTTTAGCTCTGCTGTAAAAGTTTTTTTTTTTCAAATACTTCTGAAGAGATATTTTCAACACATATTTAAACAATATTTTATAATAACTAATTGGCAGATCTAATTTCTTTAGTCCTTGAAATGATGAGAGTACATTATATTTTACAAGTTATTTTAGCTTAAAGTGCAATTTGATGGCTTAATTTGGCAAGTTTGGTTAATTTTTTAATTTCTTAAATATTATTTTAAAATATTCCAGCTAAACTAAAAGATACTACATAAGACTTTCAACAGAAGAAAATGTATAATAGGAAATGCTGTGATTTATTTATTTATTTTGCTGTAAAATAAAGGAGGCTGTATATAATAAAACAACAAAACATTATTTTCCTTAATTTGTCTTTCTCCTCTTGTTCATACAAAAATTGCCTGGTTATTATTTGAAGAAATTTATCCTATTATTTTCTTGTTTAGTTGTTCTCTCCAGTGAAGAGGAAGATGAAGGAGAGGGAAGAGAAGAGACGAAAATCTCAGCCTTAAACATCCAGCCACCAGAGGGTACAAAAGACACAAATGTAGTAGATGAATCGACAACAGTTTATGAGCAGACCAAAAGTCCAGAGTCTAATTTAAGCATCACAGAGATGTCTGAAGAGGTGAGCATGGTTATCCACATGCTGCATTAAAATGCACTAAATAAGTACTTTATACATAGTTTATTTATATGTGATAAATGTCTAGCTTAATGAAAGGGGACTTGTTGTGATCAGACTCTGGTATTGATGTGCGTATCTGTGTTTTTGCTGTCAGGAATCTCAAGGTATTCCTCTACCGCTGTCCTCCCTTCACATGGGTGGAGTTAGTGCCAAATCCAGTGGCATTATGATGGTGAGAGAGATTTGTTTTTGAGAGGTTGTGGAGTGAGCAAATATATCTGAATCATTCTGAACAAAGCTATAGAGCTGTGGTTTACATTAGAGATGCACTAGTGAATCAGCTGCCAATGTGTGACCCTGGACCACAAAACAAGTCATAAGGGTCAATATATTTTGAAACTGAGTTTTTATCTGAACGATCAATAATAAAACATTAATGTGCGGTTTAAGAGCCAACAATAATTCGCTATTTGAAGATGTAAAATCTGAGGATTTAAAAAAAATAGAAAATTTTGAGAATGGACAGCAGTAATTATGTTTTGGTGTATTTATGCTAGGAAATCAAAAAAATGTGTTCATGTAACATTAACATCTTCGCTTGATATTAGGGCTGCACAATACTGGAAACATTTTAAATAGCGATATTTTGTTTTGCTGCGATTTCTATTGTGATATTAATAGAATATCACCAGATAGCTTGAATAGCTCTATTTGGAAAGAATTCATTAAATTTGACTGATTTGGGACTATTCTAAAAGATTATGGGAATTATTCTGGGTTCGTATTGGAAAGATAGAAGTGAAATATTTTACCTTACAGTATTCAGGTACAGAAATTGAATAACCAAGTGTAAAGTAACACTGTATAGTCTTCATTGTATAAATAATTCAATAAATATCTGTATAAGAGTTAGAATTTCTCATGCCTGAATATTTTAAACTTTGGTGTCTGAACATGCAAATAATAAACTTTCTCTCTATTATAGTTAAACTCTTCAATGAATCCAGAAATCTCTTGTTTCTAAACTGTGGCTCCTCCTAAAATATAATCCCAACATATAAACTCAACATTGCACTTCATGTGATGTGACTATTGCGGAATGCACATTGCGATATCGATGCTGAAACCATATATTGCGCATCCCTACTTGATATGCTTTCTTTTAATATAGAAAAATGGATAATTATGAACCATACAATGTATTGTACAAGCATTAATGGCATAATAGATGTAATTTATTCCTAATAATAAACCTGGACAACTTACAACTAGATTTTTGTGGTCTAAGGTCACATATTTGATATAACAAAACAAAACTTATTAATTATCTGAATGAAGGCGCTGAGAGCTGTAATGTCTATAAAATATTCTATAATTGGGTAAAATAATTACTTGGCCCAAACAAAATAAAATCTGCATAAATTATAGTTTGCTTAGTAAAATTATTATTATTATTATTATTATTATTATTATTATTATTATTATTATTAATATTATACTAGTAATAATATTATTGATAATGATAATATAGCTTTTTGAATGTAAATGTTTCATGTTCAATGAAAATGGTTTGAAAATGCAGCAATAAACTGTTTTGCATTTCTAAATAGTAAAACTTATATTTAACATGTTCAAAACACTAATCTGATTCAATAAAAGAGGTGTTAGTAAGACTAATCCCAGTATCAGAATTGGCCTATTCTTTAAATACAAAAATTTTGCATGTAAATAATTAAACAAATTTATGAAGAATGTTTTTGGATGCATGTCTGTTTCAGAGTGTTTTTTATACATTGCTTTTTAGATCACTCCATACAAGATCACATTTTCTTTGAAAGGTAAACGCATATTTTATAAGAACTGAATTACTCCGTATATACATTATAATATAGATTTAAAAAATCTTTACATTTGAGAGTTTTGTAAACTATTTTTTCCTCTTGTGGACTTGCAGGAAACTCTTCAGATTCTACAGTGAAAATTTCTTTGTCAGCGATTAATGTGTATAAATATAGCTTGTGGGAGGAGCATACATTATGGGGGTGTGATCTGGATAAGGACAATGAGGCCACACCCACTTCTCTACTCTTCCTTTGGCTATCTGATGCTCAGGCACACAAACTACACGATGATCTCTCTGTCCTTGAGTTAGGCACACGTCCAGGTCAGCTGCTCGTCTACATTATTAATATATTTAAAATGTCTTTTAAAAGCAATATTAGCCATCATTCTACAACATTCTGATCCTTCTTCACAAATGTTTTTTCTTTGTGTGTACACAGCTGAAAGCAGTACTTGTTTGTTGCTGTGTATGGCTGAACCTCTTTCTGGTATTGAGAGTGCGCTTTTGTGCTCTTTGTTGGACATTGTGGTTTCGAATCAGGGCAGCCCTGAACTTTATTGTACCTGCCTCACACAGTCAGACAGCCTGAATCTTCTGCAGAGCTCAGAGGAAACACACCTGCTCCAGCTACTGACACCCAAACCTGATGAGCAAACCAGTACCTCTGCACAGGTATAAATTCTAATATTTATATATCTTGCATGATTACCTTTTTAATTTTTTGTATTTTTGTTAGCACAAACTGCCATATTTAGAATTGGTCATCTATAAAAATGGATAAGTATTAAATAAAGCAATTTACAGTTAGATTAGTTTTGTGCTGCAGGGTCGCACATTTATCACCCAGTTTTTGATACATTTTAGGCTAATGCATGAAAAGATTGACATATCAAACCAATAATTTCTTAATTAACTGCATTAAAGCACTGGGAGGGTTAATGTCTATAAAGTAATCTGTAATTGGGTAAAGTATATACATAGCCAAAATAAAATTAAAGCTGCATAAATTATAGTGTGCCTAGCAAAATTAATAATAATAATAGTAATAATATCAATAATAATAATTATAATAATAATAGTAATGATCATAATAGTAATAATGATAACAAAAAATAGCCTTTCGAATGTATTTAAAAAGTTTCTTTCAATATTCATTAGAAATTATATGACAATGGAGCAAAAAACTAGCTATTATACATTTATAATTTATTAGTATTTTTTTGTTTATGTCAGTGTACTTAGTTGAAGTCAATCCCCCTTTAAAATGTTTTTTCTTTTTTTAAATATTTCGAAATGATGTTTAACAGAGCAAGGACATTTTCACAGTATGTCTGATAAACAACAATAAAAACATAAAACATTTTAATGTCAAAATTGTTTGCCCCTTTAAGCTATATATATATATATGTTTTTTTCAATAGTCAACAGAGCAAACCATCGTTATACAATAACTTGCCTAATTACCCTAACCTGCCTAGTTCAACTAATTAACCTTGTTAAGCCTTTAAAAGCTGTATAGAAGTGTCTTGAAAAATATCCAGTCAAACATTATATACTGTCATCATGGCAAAGATAAAACAAATCAGTTATTAGAAATGAGTTATTAAAACTATTGTGTTTAGAAATGTGTTGAAAAAAATCTTCTAATCTTCTCTCCATTAAACAGAAATTGGGGAAAAAATAAACAGGAGGGCTAATAATTTTGACCTGTGATTACATACAGACAAGTTTTTATAATTTATTCACTAAATAATTGTTTTCAGTCTCAGGATTCTGATGTTCAGCTGGAGCCAACCTATACGCTATGCCATAGAAGAGCTCAGGGTTCTTACAATGTTTTCTTGGCAGCTACACCAGGGGCAGAATGGACACCGTACAAACACTGTGGTCCAACACGCAGGTGAAAACATTGATTTTACTGTGATTAAAGGGATAGTTCAGCCTAAAATTAAAATTCTGTCATGATTTAATCATCCTCCACTTTTCCCAAACCTGTTTGGAAGCAACTGAATTCCATAGTTTAGTTTGTTTTGAATATAGATGTCAATGGTGTTTCTTTCCCAACATTCTTCAAAATATTTTGTTTGTGCTCAACAGAAGAAAAGTTTAGAACCAATCGATTGTGCATAAATGCTTTAAAAGTTTAGCTTTTGGCTTAACTATCCCTTTAATTGGGATTTAAAAAAAAAAACACTAGATACATTTTAGTTTAAAGACTTGGACTGCATCTGAAATCACATACTACTTGAGAAAGTGTTACATTTGAATTGAACGTTAGAAAATAGAATGAATGTAAGTAGTAATGGATTTTGGATGTACTATAAGTCATTATCACATGACCTACCCACGTCAGTTGTGTCGCTTTACTCCCATTCATGAATTCTCTCCTGTGGCATTATGTGTAGTGGCATGATAGTGTGGTGTTCATCGGATATTAATTCCTTACATTTACATAGCACATATCTGGACAATCAAAGCGCTTTACACATTTTTTTTGAGGGGAATCTCCTCATCCATCACCAGTGTACAGCATCCACATGGAAGCCATATTGTGCCAGACCGCACACCAGCTGATGGAGAGGAGACAGGAATGAGCCAGTTATGATATGGGGATGGTTAGGAGACCATAATGGGCAGGGGCCAGTAGGCAAACTTGGCCAGGTTGGCGGGGTTAAACCACTTTTCTTTTCAAAGGACTCCCTGGAATTTTTAATGACCACAGAGAGTCAGGACTTCAGTTTAACATCTCATCCGAAAAATGGCGCTCACTAAGCAGTATAGAGTCCCCATCAATATACTGGGGTGTTAAGACACACACTGGTTGAGCACCTCCTGTTGACCTTACTACTTCTATGAATTTTGACATACCACTCAGTTTGCTCGTTTTTAGTATACTATATAGTATAATATGTAATATAGTATATACTATATATAGTATAGTATGTAATTTCGGATGCAGCCGCAGTTTAAAAAACATTTCATAGAATTTTAATTTAGAACTTTCCGAACAATAGCATAGTGTCCTTTGAGAATCAGTAAAACAGACCCTTTTTTCCTCCTAATTTAATGCTGTTCAACTGTGTATAGATTAATTCAGTTCCCTCCACCACCCTCGAAAGGAGCCCTTACAGTTACGACAGAGGACCTGGAGTGTTTAGACAGTGGCGAGTTTCTTAATGATGTCATCATCGACTTCTACCTCAAGTAAGAGAACTAAAGCTTAATGACACATTGGAGAGGTAAGAAATGGGTGTTTTGACCACCAGCATAAAGTGTGGTCTAATTTGCAACTTGGTCTAGAATAGAAACATTTTTGTAGGTGCATAAAATGTCTTTGTCAAATCTGTAATGTTTTTTAACTGCCTAAATCTGAAATCAGTACAATGCTAAAAAAAACAAAACAAAAAAAACATATGATTTACTTACTACTAAGAGTCGTATCCAATACTCTTTAAACATTTCATACCTGCAAACTGATGATGTAAATTATGTGTTTCTTCACAGGTATCTTCTGGTGCAGAAGGCCCCACAAGCATCTGTGGCCAGATCTCATATTTTCAGCAGTTTCTTCTATAAACAGCTCACACGCAGAGACAACGCTAATGAAGACAGCACAAGCACACCGTGAGTATTTGACACGCAGCACACGCTTCACTTCATATATAGCCCTCACACAACACTAATACTCACTTCTCATTGTTACAAATGCTTTTTGATCATAAGTCTTATATTTATATGCTGGATTTGTGCCATCAGAGCTCAGGTTAGAAGGCATCAGCGTGTGAGAACATGGACTCGTCATGTAGACATCTTTGAGAAAGACTTCCTCTTCGTGCCTGTCAATCAAGAGTAAGTATTTGATACATTAATATAGAGTTTTGAAATAGATTTTATTTTTGAGGACCAGTGATTTAGATCTATAATTATTATATATAGCCAGCTAAGGGTGTACTCACACTAGGTACAGTTGCCTTACACCGTGCCGAAGCGCGCTTCCCTCTCCCCCCACAGTCTGCACTAACATTGTATTTTACCTTCCGAGCTAAAGCATGCTTACATTATCGATAATGCGACAGGAAGAAAAGCACTCTCGCTCACAACAGGACATTGCTTTAGTTATATTGTTTTGTATTATTTTTAGTCATTTGGGATGCAGTGACACACAGTTAAATCTTTGCATTTTCAATAAACTATGACAGTTTGTGTTCATTGAAAAGTAAGTATGATTAATAAATCCATATAAAATGAGTACCTTAGAAGTGATGTCAGGTCTTCAGTTTCGGGCTCAGGCGCGCTTTGCACAGCTCAACATAGCTGCTCTCTGGCACACCTCCTCCAACCGAAGTAGAGCTGGCCAACTAAACCGCACCAGAGTTCAATTTGGAGCATTCACGCTTGTTAAAGAACTGGGAAACACGTTTGGACATGGTTCGGATAGCCTGGTGTAAGTTTCAGTTCAGTTTTTACTAGTCCTGGATTTTAGGAACTTTAAAGGTAGTTCTACTTTAAATGCTTTTTGTCATCATTGTATCTTTTGCTGCACAGTTAAACTGCTCCAGAAAAAGTTATGTTCTGGTTTACAGGTCAAAAAAAGATTGAACCAATCAAATGTGAGCACAATGACACATCTCTGATGCAATAAATACACTCCTCTAGAATCTCTTGCTCTAAATTTAAGGTCACTAAATAGTAAAACCTTTTAATGATAATGGTGATTATTTACTATGATTATGTTAGTTGATTAATTATGTAATTATTGTCGTCACAATCATTTGCACAATAGCAGTTTTAGTTTAATACCTTTTTTGTTTAATTATATTTAAAGCTTTATTTAAATCAACAATTTAAAGATTTATTTTTTAATCAGGAGATAAAGCTTTGAAAAAAAGATTACACATGAGCTCAGATTTTTTAGTCTCTTTTATAGCTTTGTTACCAATTACTTGCACTAATAAAGTAAACTCTTTTCATCTTGCTCTATTAATGTTTCTAAATTTTCACACTTTTAATCTTTTAGTTTTTGCTTATGACTTTCTCTGACTCTCTTATGAGAAGTCAATTACATCATCTTTTGCTAAATTTACACAACATGGTTAAAATGACCCAATTCCGATGTATTTTTTTTATCTTATGTGGCACAGATGGGATATGGCCCTTGTACATTTAAGCAGGAAAAAAATCACATGGATTCTAATTTACTCGAATCAGATTCAGGCCTTGTTCATATGTGCAATTGTATGTAATATGAATCAGATCCGTGCCCTCGTGTCTGCAGTGTAAGCAAGTAGATCGGATTTTTACCTGTCAATAGTCGTGTGTCTTTAAAACTGCAGCGAATGATGTCAACTCTGACACTTTCATTTCAGAACAGACTTTAGTCTTTAGTTAGTAGTTGGTTGAGTCCCAACCAAACCTTAAATCTTATATACTAGGACAAAAAAAGCTTTTATACTGTCATGTAGCACAAGTATTTAAATATATAAAAGCTCATATTTTGGTTTTTAGAGTCTCTAACAACAGGCTCATATGCATGCAAGGTCAAAAACACTTTCATTGTCTTATAATATGTGTGTGTGTGTGTGTGTGTGTGTGTGTGTGTGTGTGTGTGTATGTGTATATATATATAATATTTATTTTTATTTTTTTACCTAATTATCCTAATGACTCCCATAGGATTCATTCAGCGATCAATTTGTTCCCAAACCCCTCCGGTGCGTGAGGGTAATCTGCTGTGATTGTTCCGATGACCCAGTCTGTTGTAATTGGTTGACTGGGTTTACCGCAAGACAGAGAGAAACGCCCACCACCGCTATGAAGTATTAGAGAATATGTCAGAGCCCAATGCAGGAATGCAGTAAAGCAATGCAGTTAAACACCAGCGTATTGCTCTACTCTTAAACCTAACCCCAATAATAACGACGACACACATTCAGCATCAATACACTCAATGGCAAATGTTTAAACTTTTTTGAAAATTGATTGCGCCGCATTTATTGGAACAGCTGATGGTGGCCATAGCAAAAACAAACGGCCTGAGAGTTAACCTGAGAGATACAGTACAAACACTGATGTATAATACATACATGAATCTAAGCCATGTGGGGTGAATGCAACTCATGACAAATAATTAAACACACAAAATTTAGCAAACTACACAAAACAAGGCAACAATTTTAATCCGGATTAATTTTACTCATTTCGTTAACATTTTATGATTCGGAAGAAAAAGAAACTGGTCCATAAGAACTGTAACAGTTACTGACAAAGTCCCTGTCAAAGTTTGACAAAGTCCCATACATAATAGTCTCTGCTGCTCCTTCCTTTAATAGCAAATGGCATACAAGTCCTGGATTGCAGTGTTGGTCATTGTATCAAAAATCTGAAAAATAATAGGAACAAACACAGCACTAGGTTGGCTATACTGTAGTATTTTTGTAAAAATGAACTTTAACCCTTTATTCCCCACAGCTGAATCTCTGTCTGCCAGTGATTGTCATCTTTGTGTCATGATCAGTCCCGTGATCCCACTCGCTTTGCTAGTGTCTAAAGGGAAAGGCACTTTCATATTTTAACGGATCTGGAACTACATATTTGGTGTTGTATCGTATCAACGTTGACTCATTCAAGCCAAAGGTTCGAACTCAACACGATTATTTTATTTTACTCTGAGTTGACTAGTTTGTTAAAGATTCAATAGTTTTAAACACGATGCAGATTTAAACCTCAGCTGGATGTTTTTATTCACTTAGTGCTGTGTTACACATTGTATCAGGGCTGGAAATTGCACCCGAAATTTAATCTATGCGATCTCATAATATATTTGGGAGCATTTGTGGGACTGCATTTGATGCTTGTAGTGTTCTAAAAACATGTTGAATCACTCTTCCCTGCCGATATATTGGTTAATTTTAGCTGTCAATCACTCACGGCTTTCTGCTGTCAGATGACAGGGAGTTTTTGTGACTGCGGGAAATGCAAACAGCTGATAAGTGAAAAGTCCACAGGTTTGCAAATCCACCTAAAGTTACAAATAATGGCGCCGATGACAGCGATCATGTGAATTTTGATCCACCAGCCGAGATAAGTCGAGTGTTTTTGGAGAAGGTGCCTGAATCTCAGTGCGTTGCATTCACTGCGTGTTCAGCGCAAATGTCCGCTAATTGTGAAATCTAACACTGTACACATCATCCCCGAAGTAGCTTGCCTTTACTAAGTTTAAACTGAATCTGAGCTTTTAAAATGACACAAACCCAAACTTAAACCTTTAAAGAGTGGTAGAAGTGAGACTTTACTTACTTTCTTTTGTCCATTCTTCCTTGAGATGTATATTATTTTTCTATTTAGTTGTTAATTGTTAGTTGTAAGCTTTCAACATTGAATTGAATAATTTATTATAATCTTGCGTTTGTTTTGTAGCAGAAATATTATTTGTTAAATTGACATGCAATAACAATAGGACAAAATAAATATTTCTTACTGCAATGCTTCATTTGTGTTTGATGCAAACTATAGATTTATTTTACATGAAGTGAAAGTAGGACTTTTTATAGCACATAACTCACATCCAAGCACATTCAAGGCAGCATGATAAAGAGAAATGTAGTTCATTGTTAGTATAATTGTCATCATCGTCATCATTAATTTTTTTACAGTTATTAGACATTTATTTTGGAATTATTGCACAAATATCAATAAGTCATTACAGATTAGTTAGATAGTTTTCCAATAAAATAAATCCATTAATATACAATTTGCAGTGGTGCTCATTCATTTTTGCTGTGTGTTTCTAATTTTTTTCTGGTGCTTCTAAACATTTGAAGTTTGGAGCACCAGTGCTACCAAGTAAAAAAGTGAATATTGAGCCCTGTGTATGGAAGCTCATTTTCAAAAACCCATAATAGGGGTTCTTTAAAGATGTGAATGAGAAAGTGCGAGTACAACATCCGCCACGTAAACAATATAAAACTATTGCATACAAATGTGCAATAAAAAATGAAACCCTGCAAACAGATTAAATAGAGGAATGGAGTTAAAACATTTATTATCAGCTGTCAGTCAGCGCCCGCTCTTTTTTCCCCTTTTTTTTCTGTTCATTGCACCTTTTGCCTTGTATACTATAAATGCAAACAATCCGATATGAGTCACTTTTAAAAGATGATGTAAGTTGGTCATCAAACAATTTGATAGTCACAAAATCAATTTTGACCATCAAGATTATTATTATTATAAAATCTGCTGTGTAAATGCAGTCAAAGTTTTAACAGAGCAAGTTGAAGATCAGCATCATGATACCAACAAAATCTGATTGTGCTTGTTTGGTTTTGTCAACTCATAACTACATGAAGAAAATTCAGTTCTGTCGTTGAGACATTTGAGGCAGTTTATGAGAAGTGCATACTTTGGAGTGAACTTTGCTGAAGGTTTTTATCCACAAACATCAACTTAATACGCTAAAAGATGTGTAAAAAGCATAATAGGACCTCCTTAACTCACTAGATTATGTTTATTAGTTTGTGTTGGCTTTTATACATACAGTATTATGCAACCTGTGAATATATTTATTTATTTTTACTAGTAAGTTATATCATGAGTGGTGTTTGTTTCAGAGCTCACTGGTACCTGGTGGTGATCTGTTTCCCGGGGTTAGAAGATCCACAGTATGTAAAGCGGGATGACAGTGCCTCAGTGCAGGGCAATGGAGGTGAGGATGTGGGTGAGTCAGAGAATGAGACCCAGGGAGACCATAGATCCAACAGTGATGAGGACAAAAGCACAGGTAGGATGGTTCGAAATGAATTGTAATTCTACTAGAAATTTACTAATGCATATTGCTGTAAGTGTTGATTCATTATCTTTTGTTCTTGATCTAGATGACAGTCGTATAAAATCAAGCACATCCCTTCGTCAGCCTGTAAGTCCTATTAGGTCCCCTAGTCAGAAGTCTTTGATTTAGTTTAATATCATTGGATTGCATTTGATTAGCTTATTATTATTATTATTATAATTATTATTAGATTGTGATTTTTATTGTAGACAGATAATACACATTAACAACAGAATCTTGTGCTTCTGGCTGTGTAGGATTGTACAGAAAATACCTGCAAGAAAGATGTTGTGTTGAAAAGGTATGTGTGTTCTAAGTTTTCTTAAGGTGGGAATTTAGATTATGTAAGTAAAGTCAGTAAGTAAGTAATAAGACTATTAAACAACAGCCATTCTTGTGGAAATTTGTGAATATATATTTTTGATCTATTTCAAAGTTGACTACTGTGTGTTTTTGTGTGTTTCAAACAAATTTAGTCAAAAAGTCAAAATTATTAGTCCCCTATATATACATTTTTAGATTGTCTACAGAATAAACCACTGTTATCAAATAACTTGCCAAATTATCCTATAATAATTGGTTGGTCTAGTATTATATATATATAAATACATTAGGAGTGTAACGGATCACGGTTGATTCATGATTTGTACTGATCATAACCCACGGTTTGGAAGACATGTGACCCGCGGAATAATATATTTTTTGCTTGTAGATCAATCCTAAATTTGTAACAATTGCAGAGAGATTGCCTCTAGTGTTATTTAAATCACATGTGTGAAAGCATTTAGGCTTTCCTGTAAAATATAATGATGGCGCAAGAAGTTGTGGTAGGTTATGCGGGATGTGGTGGGTTTCTTAGAAGGTGTTGGTTATTAATTTGTGGGTTATTAAAGATGTTTTCTGTCACGACTTGTTTAGCCTGTATTAATGCATTTAGTGTAAGCTGCATGATTAATCATTAAAAGATCAGGATCATCTCAACAACCACGCAACACAAATTGTAAATGATGGTGATTTGCATATGTTTATTAATCCTGCGAATCTCTGCATTCAAATCTGTGCTTAAAAAACACAAAAATCCAGAAAGAGATTGTGAAACTGAGAAATAACACATAAGTACTGGGATAACAGTTTATAGTTTAGATAAAACCATGATGTTGTACTGATGTTTATGGTAAAGATTAAAATCAAATGTATTTCATTTGACGATCAAAAATGAAAGTTGTAGGTAGCAATTACATTATGTAACCAATAACCAGCCATCAAAAATATGCCACTAAATAATTCTTCAAAAATGATCCATTTAGCAATGAAACATGACATTTTATGAGTGAATAACTAAATCATTTATTAATAATGAGACCAATAGGTTGTCCAAATTATAATATTAGATTTCTACATTTAAAGTCATCTGCAACAGTAGTAGTAACAGTGAATTTTTCACTTGTACTGAATATAAAATTTTTTTTTAATTTAAAATTTTAATTTAAAATTTTATTTTTATATATTTTAAAAAATGTTTTTGTAATAAGTTAAAAGCAAATGACATTTGTCTCCTCTTTTTGGCTGATCCGATTTGTGAATAAAAAAACCATAATGTCAGCCGAACCGTGAAATTTGGGATCCGTTACACCACTAATATACAGTACATGTATATAAACACTGCTTACCTGCCACACGCACACATATATATATATATATATATATATATATATATATATATATATATATATATATATATATATATATATATATATATATATATAGGTTTTAGGGCAGTGTATCTCAACCACATTCCTGGAGGACCACCTGCTCTGCACATTTGCCTCCTTAACCCAGGGTAGTCCAAACTCGGTCCTGGATGGCTGGTGTCCTGCTGAGTTTAGCTCCAACTTGCTTCAACACACCTGCCAGGAACTTTCTAGTAATGTAAGAGCTTGATTAGCTGGTTCAGGTGTGTTTGATTAGGGTTGAACCTAAACTCCCCAGGACACCAGCCCGCCAGGACTGAGTCTGGACACCCCTGCCTTAACCGAACACACCTGATTCAGATCATCAGCTCATTAGCAGAGACTGAAAGACCTGTAATGGGTGTGGCAGACAAAGGAGACGTCCAAAACATGCAGTGTTGGTGGTCCTTTAGGAACATGGTTGAGAAACAGTGTTTCACGGTAAGGTTTTCACTGGGATATTAGTATGTACATGGCAGAAATGTTTGAAAGAACTGTAAATTTTGATGTTTAGATTTGAAAATGAAACCTTGTTTTCAGGCCATGTATTCTCATCATGGATTCTCTGAAGTTGTCCATTCATGAACGCATCTTCAAACTCTTGCGCGAGTGAGTGTTTACACTTTTCTGCTGTTTAGTTATTTTTCTTTCTTCATTTGCTATTAGTTATAGAATGCTAGTACAATAATAAACATATGTTTGTAATTTATGGTCATTATATTTTATTCTTTTTCAGGTACCTTCAGGTTGAATGGGAGACAAAGAGAATGGGTACTCGTGACTTTAGTGCTGAACGTATGGTTGGTTCCCATTGTAAAGTTCCTCTACAAGACAACAGCAGTGACTGTGGCCTTTACCTGCTTCAATATGCAGAAAGTTTTTTACAGGTACACTTATGTTTGTTCTTTATTTCAAATACAGGAAGTGTCCATTTTGACTTTAAAGGGAACTCCAGTGCTGTATGTGTGTCTTTCAGGACCCTGTGGTCCACTTTGATTTGCCATTGAGATTGGAGCGCTGGTTTCCTCGACAGCAGGTGCGAGGGAAACGGGACGAAATTCGAGACCTCATCCTGCACCTATACAGATTTCAGAAAGGCTCTCTGGGAAATGATGCTGCAGATGATAGGACAGATTATGGCAATGTCATTAAGTGATATAAAGCCTTTAAGATTACACACTTAATTTACACTAGACATATTTATATTTTAGCTGTTTCTAAACCTTTTTTTATTGTACGCTTTTATATGGACTGTTGGAAAACATTTTTGTTGGATTGTTTAGAAAGAAATAAATGTTGCTCAAATGAGACTAAAATGTTCGTTTCTTTTCATCTCACGTTTTGGTCTATTTAGTGTCTTTATTTGAGGTCAGAAGCAGATTGTTATATTCCAAGTTTTCTAAAATAAGATATTTTTAATGGAATAGTTCACCCAAACATAAAGTCAATTTACTCACCGTTTGCACTCAAGTGGTTCCAAACCTGTTAGTTTCTCTTTTTGTGGAATACCTAAGTTATTTTGAAGTATATTGTAAATCGGTGGACATTCAAAGTTAATGTCACTGTCATTAAAATATCGCTATTGTAATCAGTGTTTTCCAGTTTACAACCTTATTTACAACATCTTATTTTGTGTAAAAAATATTTTAGAATAAGTCAAATGCGAGTAAATAAGAATTTTCTGTCTAAAAGCATGGACATTTGAGCACAGCTTTGCACTATTTAACTGTGTCTGATATGTGAATGAACTCAGCCTTGAGCATGTGATTGGTCGAGCAGTTGGGTGTGACTGGAGTCATTGTTTGGGTTGGTCAGTTAGTAGTGGTCAAGCAGATGATCTAAAACTGTGTGTGTGTGTGTACAGGGATGTGTGGTTTAACGCTAATCAGAGTGTTAGAGATTAGACAGATTACAGACCACCCACTCATGTCAGTAATCCCAGCATCCCTGCCCTGTGTGAAGTGTTACTCTTAGTTTGTTTACTCAATATAATAACATTCTACTGGGCGATTATTTAATTTTTCTATATTTGTACCAAAGAGGTCCACAAAAATGCCAGTAAAAACATTTTTTAACATTTTTCTAACAAGCTTAGAAGTTAGACCAGAAGATAGCTGGAGAAGCATACTGCAGTACTGTTATATTTGCCAAATTTGCACTTAACCTTCAATTTGCAATTTGATTAATAATTTTGAGACATCAAGTATTAAACCATGTTTCTCATAACAATTTGGTTCATTTATCAATTTATTTATTTGAAATATTCTTTTAACTGAATAGGGACATTTCTGGTAAGTTTTACTACTTTATTTAACTTTTTTTGAAAGGTGTCTTGTGTTCCTGCATTTAATCGATTAAATGGTTAAAAAATACCATAGAACAGTTGGTGAGTGCGTATGTGTGTGAGAAATGACCGTGTTTTCTGGAATTTCACAGTAGTGTCAATTTAGAAAGATTGGGCTTAATGAGAAAATTCAGCAAACATTAAATAAATTCAAAAACAAACGTTCCAACTCCCTATTTCTAAATTCAATAAAATAAGTGCTAAAACATTGTGACGGTGTCCCTAAGAACGTCTCTTTAGAAAGAGGCTGGAAAAATAAAATCAACTGTCTAATGAGATGAAGACATTCACAGCAAGAAGGTCACTGGTTAGAGTCTCAGCTGGGTCAGTTGGCATCTCTGTGTGGAGTTTGCATGTTCTCCCCGTGTTCGCATGGGTTTCCTCTGATGCTTTCCCCAGTCGAAAGACAAGCGTTATAGGTGAATCGAATAAGTTAATTGTCTGTAGTGTATGTGTGTTAATGAGTGTGTACTGATGTTTCCTAGTACTGCGTTAAAGCTGGAAGGGCATCCGCTGTTTAAAACATATGCTGAATAAGTTGGCAGTGAATTCGCTGTGACTGAAGTTATTCTAAACTTTCGCAATCATACAGTACAGCTCTGGGGGTCTCATTATTAATGTGACATATGCACAAAAAGGGGGTCGAAATGTGTGTATGCAACTTCCCAGACAAAGTTTGCTGTCTATATAAAACAAAAACAAACTTAACAAGACTGCTGTAAGTAAAATCTGGACCATGCATACACCCATGCTTGAGGAAAGGCTTCCGGCGACATGTTAAGTTGAGGAACTGACATCAAAATCAAGAAAGTAATTTTTTTTGTGTTAATTTACTTTAATATGGACTTAACAGAGGCACTGTACATCGTCATAGGAGCCCTGTTGGAGGGTGCATGTGTGTTTCTAGTTTGTGTGATTTAAAAAGGTTTATTAGTTTGCAGGTCACGTGACCTTATTGTGACACTTTGCTGTCCTTTCAAAAAAACAAAAAAGAACAAAAAAAAAAAAAACAATATGTAGACTATGTGAATTAATGGGTTTTAAAGCTTTTCATGTGAACCCCTTATGGTTACATACTCTCCACACATGACCACATTTGTTCACATGTGATCACATTGGTTTCGCATGACAATGTGCCAAAACAAAAAGGTGAAGTTCTTTGAGTTTGAGTGAAGGCTGATATAAAAGAAAGTTGCTATATGCATGCTTTATATTGCAGACTTTTTTTTCTTTTTTATTGATTGGAATGGATGCCAGCAATTTGTTTGAATACAAACATTCTTCAAAATAGATTTTGTGTACCACAAGATGGCCCATGATAACTTTTGATTTGGCCCTCCACCCCATCTGAGAAGAGAGGAAGAGTGTTGGGGCAAATGCCTTTAACAGAGATTGTCAATTCTAGTTTATCAAACCTTTTGTTTGTTTAATTGTTGAGCAACAAAAAAGCATACTGAAATTGAAAGTTTCAGTTAAATGTTATGAATGAATTTGTTTTTTATGTTAAAATATAAATACTGTTACTTGATGGATAGACAACAATACAAATGATATTGGCATTGAACTCCATTTTGTTTTTATTATAAAAAGTTAATTGTGAAATAGATATAGAATTATTAATATGAATATAAATTTTTTATATATTAATAAAGTAGGTAGTTACCATGGCAACTTTAATGTGAAACAGTTTGGTATATTTACCTTTGGCCCACTATCCTCAATCAAGTTTGGTTTTTGGACCTTCTTAAGAAAAAGTTTGAGTTATGTCTGCACAACATAAAGTCAAAGAGGTTTGGAACATCAAAAAAAGTGAATAATTGATGACAACATTTTTAATTTTGGGTGAACTGTTCCTTTGAGGTTAAGTTAAAAGTTCATTAAGCCAGCCTCAGATTATTAACCAGTTGAAAAATGTTATTCTACAAATACATCGTATATTTACTGCATGAAGTTCAGTGACAAATCAGATCATTTAAGAGCAGTTTCACAGCAGTTACCATCATTCAGGGTGTAATGCGCCAAATGTGGTTAGCAAAATGGTTAGGAGCAGTCTGCAAAGGAAAGGAGTGCATCTGTATAAAATATGATAAACAAATGACTAGCATGAATACAACAGAACATTATGAACTTTAGGTTTTTGCTGAAGTTTCACAGTATTGAGGTAAATTAAACGATCAGATGTAAAATAGAACGATGTGCAGAAATCAACATTTGAAATGGATCAAATCCTTGCATCAAAATTCTTAAATTCTTATTTCAAACCCATTTTTGTCTTACGACAATTTAAAAAAAACTTTTTTGATCCACTTCAAATGTTACTGCTACTGCTTTCTTTGTTGTATAAATATTCAAATACAATTTATCTTTGTTTAATTCTTTGTGCCCAGATCATTTAAATTAGCTTGAAATCATAGTCAGAGTCCCTAAAAAGTAATCTCAGTCACAGTCGTTAAAAAAATCATTGTAATCCCAACTCGACACTCTGCAGTTTCCATTGCCGAAATCCTAATTTTGGTAACATGTTTGTCTTTCAAATACAAATAAATATATTTAGTTATATGAGCAATATATGGTAAGTTTACAGTGCAGCACAACCTTTTTAAATCACCGACCCACAGAGGCTGGTGTTGCAGCAAACATCTTAATAAATGAACTGAAACTATTTTCACAAAAGCATGGGTGCATTTACATCCTGTTTGCTGCAAAGATCATTAGCACATTGAAAAATAGTCTGAGGTTAAAATTATTCTTAATAAATAAAGGTTTCAGTAGGTGGACTAAATATCAGTGTGCGTAAAGTGTGCAAAACTTTTAAAGACATGACAAGGCCAACTGGTTGAATATTATGTTTGCAGACATTTTATTTTTCTATTTAAACATTAGGCTACACAATCTTTGTTAAGCATGTTATATAAAAGTAAATTATTATAAAATGGACATTACAGTGAAGGTTTGAGAAATGTAGTTAAATATACAAGCAAAAATATTTAAATTCATCAGTCCAAATGCAAGTAAAACTTTTGTTTTCTTCCTCCATGACATTACTGGAACTATTGCTCACTCTGCAAAAGAGAGTTTGTAAAGGTTTTAAGCAACTGCCCAATAAACAGAAGGAAAGTCTAGTTGGCTTTACTAGAGCTCAGTTTACACCACAACCTGTGCCAGAATGCTTCATGCCTCTCCGGGTCGTGTGGCCAGTCCAGATAGGTTCTAGTTTTTACCAGCCGGGCCAGTCTGTGATGGGAGGAAAGCAAGCGAGATGGAATGGTTTCTAGGAAGACCAGGATAAGAATGTCTCTGTGTTCTACCTGAAGCCGGTAGGTGGCCAGCTGCATCTCAAGTGAGCACCAGTTGCTACCGAGGTAGTTTTGACTGACGAGACAAAGAGTACGGCGACTTGCGTAGATGCTGTCTGTGATGTTTTCCACAATGTCGTGTCCCAACTGAAAGTCCCGACTGTGGAGACAGATACGCAAAAATGGAGGTCCACGCTGCTCTAAGTTTGGAAGAAGTTCCTCCATGACCCAGTGCTCATCCTTACTGCTGTAAGACACAAAAACATCATAGCGGTACTGCTGTTTCTTCTTCATATGCAAAACCTCTCGAAACCATCCGCTGGCGATGTGAAAGAACGGCTTGAAGTACTGGCCTACAAATTTGTACATCAGGACCACAACAATAAAGATGCACAAAAAGACAGCAGTGCTGGCGAAGAACACAAACTCAATGTCAAATGAGCAGTTTTCTTTGACGAAACTGACAAAGTTGAGTTGGTCAACTTCATTGTCAATCAAGCACTGCAAATCTTGCATGGTGGGGTTTAACATGCTAACCTCCACCTTTCTGTTGTCCTTCACCCATGAGACCAGCCACGCATCATCACAACTGCAGTAGAGACCCAAGCCTTCAAAATAGACATACTCCAAATCAGTGAGATGTTCCACAAAAGTTTGTAGAATGTTGACA